CGTGGAATATTCGCACTCTTAGTGCGGAGGAGAGGCTGCCACTCCTCCCTCTGTTGAGTTTTGGACCGGTACTGCCTGGACCTCTGAAATACAGGTCTGGTGGACTGGTTCTAGCTCCAGTCACCACAAGGGGTGGAGAGTTCTCCAATCGTGGCGGGAAACTGACAAACAACAGGGAGCGACATTGCATTTAAACAAAATAATTAAATGGGTGGGGTGCTTGTGGGCGAGGTGTGGGAAAATGTCAGTCCCAGGCCACTGTGAGCTTGCCTCATCAACAGGAGGTGAGGAATGGTGGTGGTTGCTTCTACCCACACCTAAGATGAACGTCAGCGGAGGGATGCAGGCAGAGTCGGATGCCTTCTATGTCCTCCTGTCACAGGTGCTATCTAAAGCGGCTTCTCCAGATAGTCATCCTGTTGGGTGACTGCAATGCCCGAGTTGGTCAAGATGCAAACACCTGGGCCAGCGTGATTGGGAGACATGGGCCAGATTAGCTCAATAACAAGGGTAGGAGGCTGCTAGACTTACACGCACCCCATAGGCTTGTAATTACCAGCATTCTGTTCGAGCAGATCTGTCCAGAACTTATGAACTACATCGTGACAGAAGAGCGAATGCGGGCACATGTCCTTGACACCAGCACCTACCGTAGAGCTGATCTTGCCACTGACAATCAGCGTGTCATCTGTAATATGTTCCAACCATACTTTCACCGTGGTGGAAATTATCCATCTAAGACCCCATTCAAACCCACAATAGCCTGATCTTGGCTAGCTGATTTAAGATTGTGAAAATATCGTCATCTCTTGCAAATGGGTTTGGGTGAATTTCAGGACAGTGACTATTGCAGCTACTCTGGCTGCATTGGGCACGCGGTCCAGACTTCCCCAGAAACTCTGGCTAATGGAGGAGGTGTTCCGGTTAATTGAAAGTAAGCAGCAGGCCCACTCCCACCGTTTACAACATCCCACATCCGAGAATGAGGAGGCTTACCACAGCACTTCGCTCGGTTGTTCAGAAAGCTGTTCGGCACTGCAAAGATGAGTGGTGGTCGCAGGTTGCTGAGGAAATGCAAACTCCCTCAGTAGCACGCGATAACAAATCACTTTTTAACTCCATAAAAAATTGTAACCGACAGCGCCACACCTATCACTATCCTTGAGGGGGAAAAACAACGGTAATCTAATCTGTAAGGTATTTGGGGGAGGGGAAGCAATGCAAACTCATAGGGCAAGGTGGGGTTTGATTCCTCTTGGTGTTTTTGCGTCTCAAATATTAGAGGAATTTGCTGCTCACTGCGAGTGGTTTGGCTGAGGTGCCAGTTGTTGTTGAGGTTCGAAGGTCCGCACCGGAGCTTGAGACGAAGCAGAGTGCCCGGCGTTAGAGGTGAACTCTCAAACAAATTGCTGAGGGTGGCGTCTGTGTGCAGACTGCCGTGTGATATCATTGTAACTGCCTGGTCCCACAGGACGGGTTCCACAGAATTGGAAGAATGCCCTGGTGGTCCCCATTTTTGACAAGGGGCACTGCACTGATTGCAACAACTACCGAGGAATGTCCCCCCCTCAGTGTGTCGGTAAAGGTCCCGGCAAGGATTATTCAACATCGCTTTGCCAGGCACGCTAAGCAGAGAGGCTTGTGGAGCCCCAATGTGGTTTAAAGCCAGGGCGGTCCTGCACAGATACCATATTTTCTGTCCGTCTGCTACAGCAGAGGTGTAGGGAATTCCAACAGGACCTTCATCTCTGCTTTTTTGACCTGGTCAAGGTCTATGATACCATCAATAGGCCATGGCTCTGGGTTGTTCTTCGTGCTTTCGGGCTCCCTGACTGTTCACACTAATTAATAACCTTCATGATGATGGGCAGGCCCGGGTAAAGTTGCGTGGCCAGGAGTCAAGAGTAACTTTGCATTCGAGAATCTTTCCATGGATGTACCGGTGTAAATTTCCCATCTGTCATATACTGTATCCAATGAGATCGATGCCCAATAGGGATTGGTCAACCATCTTACCTATGCCGATGATCTCGTAATTGCTGCTCATTCAGAGGAGGAGTTGGAGGCACTGCTGCTGAACCTGGAGCATGCGACTAAGAGATTGGGCCTTGCCATCAGCCCCCCCCGAAAACAAAGCACCTGCTCCCCTCTCTTTACTTTCCATGAATGATGAGGCAGAGAGTGGAGAAGTATCTGTACCTGGGCCCTGTGCGTATGACCAGCTCCGGTATGGCAGCCGAGGTCTCGCTCCGAATCAATTGAATGGCATTGTCTTTTTTATCACCTGAATACCTATAACTCCATGCAAAGCTCCGGTTCTTCTAGACCACAGGAGCCTTCTAATAAGGGAACATCTGCGCTGGTTTGAAACATTCAGGCGAGCCTGCCTATCAACCATCCTCGGTTTATCCAGACTTGATCACAGTGTGAGGAGCTAAGAGATCCTTGAAATATCTGGACAAAGTCCCATCAGTGAGCTCCTCTGGCAATCGAGGGTGCGTTGGCTGGATCATGTAGCCCGCATGTCCAGCTACCGCATACCCAAGCCAGCTTGTGTTCGGTTGGAGAGAGGCGGCTAAACGGGCGCTGCACGGGCTAAAGAAGACATGGACTAATGCGGCAGGGAAGGATGTGCAGCTGATTGGACTTGCCGATACCAGTAACCCAGCGGTGTCAAGACGGCTCGTTAAGGATGTTGCTGGGGAGTTAGAAGCAGTCACCGACCAGTAACAACGAAGGGCGGAGAAGCGATGCTGACAACAACAAGCAGAGCGTCGGGCGAATACAATGCAGTAGAGCACAGTTGGTACATCTGACCGTCATCTCAGTCAGTCAACCCATTGCAGGTGGGTCCTTTTTGTGATCTCCTGCAGAGGAGCATTTGACACTTCACGTGGCCTCAAAGTGCACCTAGCATAGTGAAAGTGCTGGGAGAGATCACCAGAATGTATTTTAACGGCAGTTGTTGTTGTCCGTCTGCGAATGTTTACGTTTGTGTGTATGTCTTTGTATGTATGTAGAATATTAATGTGTGTGTGTGTGTATCGAGTCCTTGTGAATGTGTGTGCATAAGTGAAAGTAAATACGTATAAGCGTACATACGTGAGTTTGTGTGTGTCTGTGCATACAGAGTATGTGTGTTTATGTGTGGTGACCGGTGGCCAGAAAAAAAAAAACACGTAGCGTGTAGACGCGATGAGTGAAGGCCAAAAACCAGCTCGTGAGTCTAAACTTTAATAGAAGCAATAAAGCATAAAAACGAATGAAAACAATCACACACTATGAATTAAGATTCATTCTTTATGGAAACAACGTGGGTGTAAAAAAGTGTTTATACAATATATCGATGGGACCTTTTTGTTCCGGTATCAACGGTTCCATAGATGTATAAAAAGTATATTTTGATACTGGCAAAAAAAAGGTATCCCATAGATACCGCTAATCAACCCCAGCTATAAATGCTCTGATACTTGCATTGTCTTTGCATTGCTTGACTTTTTGGCGTTCTCTGGTCTGACATTGGTGAGACAAGGCTACACAGAAGGCCGTCTCTGGTTGTAGGCCAATCGGTTACAAAGACAGCGCATTTATTATTATTGTTATTATTATGATTCTCAGAGTATCTTCCTTTGCATGCTTTATCGCATGCAAAGGAAGATACGTGTGATTAAGGCAGACCAGAATCATTGAAAAATGTATCTGTTTGGTGTTTGAACATCTTAATACAATTTTTTCTCTCTGCTTTTTTCACATTTTCTTGCTGTGGTGTTCACGCCTGATGATGATGATTGCTTGTGTTGTAATCGAAAATTCGTGAGGATTTTATTGTTTTATTTTTTATTACTTTATTATTTCCCTTCTACGTGACTTTACCGAAAGAACCAAGAATATATATATCTTTACTCTTTGGTTGTATTGGGTAAAGTCAGAACCAAAGAGTATGGATCCTTGCAGCCACGAAAGCTTTAAATCTAGAATATATATCTTCTTCTTCTTTGGTTCTTTCGGTAAAGTCACGTAGAATGAGAATAAAATAATAAATTGATAAAATAAAATAACACAATAATATTCTCACGACGTTTCGGCCACAACACAAGCGGCCTTCATCAGGTGAAGGGACGAGACTGTCTGGTGAAACCTATTCTTATTTTATTGATACGTAGATATATATATTTTAAAAAAAACCTGCACCATTGCCCGGCATTCTCCCGCTGGCCTAATTACATGTGCCATAAGTTGTTAATATCATACGCTGTGCTGGAATTCACGAAGGTCGTACGAAGTTGCCAAGTTAATAAGCAGCCTACCGAGGCGTCGGAAGTCCTCAGTCGGCGGTTTTAATATCGAGGCGAAATGTGACATTCGGAGGTGTCGAGTGGAAATGTACAGAAGCTCGATTCTTAAATTTTTAAAAAAAAAAAATAAGCCCAACAACATTTAGAGAGACTTCAACGCCTCCCTGTTGGCTGTGTTTATCCGCCCAGTGTCCAAATGAAGTCCCTTATATGCGTTGAGAAAAAAAAATACATGGTGCCCCATTCAGACGCCACCCGTTCACATTTCATCTACCCAGCCTATGGGAAAACAGGAATTGAAAGGTCCCTGTTTCTGTTTGGGAACATCTCTCAAAGAGGACGCCTCTTTATCGGCCAATGGCAGTAGTCTGAGGCCGCCCTCCATGTTTGTTATGGTATTATTTTTTGTATTAAGCTTTTCACAAAATGTTGGCTCTTCCGCATTTGAATTCTGAATGAATCAACTGGATCCCTTATTTCAATCGTCTCCTCAATATTATTTTGAACACGTTATTTATGTTCAGGGGGGAAGGTGAGAGAGAACGTTCCAGCGCTCATATTTTGACAGCAAATAAGAGCGAGTCTGCTTTTTTTTTGTTGCCTTGCTTTTGGCCTCAGCCAGCGCTACACTGCACCTATTGAGGCTAGGCCCTGTCGCTGGCTGGGTCAAAGCCAAGCCAGCCCCTGGTAGCTGCCTTTAAAAGCCGGGGCCTCAAACTCCCAGGCTCGTCAGTCCGCAGTGAAGCTTCATCAGCCTCAACTCAAAGCCCTCCTCTCCTCGTCGTCGACAGCGAAAGCAAACAAAAAATCCCTAAAATAAAAATGGCCGCCGCCATGCAAGCTCTGCTCGTGATCGCCCTCCTTCACCTCGCCACCGCGACGCGTAAGTTGGACGGGATCTCTGTGCGAGTGTGAGTCTGTGTCCTTGTGTGTCTCTCTGTGGATCTCTGTATGAGTCTGTGTCCTTGTGTGTCTCTCTGTGGATCTCTGTATGAGTCTGTGTCTATGGATGTCTGTGTTTGAATCTATCTTTGACTGTTGTGTCTCTATGGATGTTTGAGTGTGAGTCTGTGTCTTTGTGTGTCTATCTGTGGATCTCTGTATGAGTCTGTGTCCTTGTGTGTCTCTCTGTGGATCTCTGTATGAGTCTGTGTCCTTGTGTGTCTCTCTGTGGATCTCTGTATGAGTCTGTGTCTATGGATGTCTGTGTTTGAATCTATCTTTGACTGTTGTGTCTCTATGGATGTTTGAGTGTGAGTCTGTGTCTTTGTGTGTCTATCTGTGGATCTCTGTATGAGTCTGTGTCCTTGTGTGTCTCTCTGTGGATCTCTGTATGAGTCTGTGTCCTTGTGTGTCTCTCTGTGGATCTCTGTATGAGTCTGTGTCTATGGATGTCTGTGTGTGAATCTATCTTTGACTGTTGTGTCTCTATGGATGTTTGAGTGTGAGTCTGTGTCTTTGTGTGTCTATCTGTGGATCTCTGTATGAGTCTGTGTCCTTGTGTGTCTCTCTGTGGATCTCTGTATGAGTCTGTGTCCTTGTGTGTTTCTCTGTGGATCTCTGTATGAGTCTGTGTCTATGGATGTCTGTGTGTGAATCTATCTTTGACTGTTGTGTCTCTATGGATGTTTGAGTGTGAGACTGTGTCTTTGCGTGTCTATCCGTGCATCTCAGTATGAGCCTGTGTCTATGGATGTCTGTGTGTGAATCTATCTTTGACTGTTGTGTCTCTATGGATGTTTGAGTGTGAGTCTGTGTCTTTGTGTGTCTATCTGTGGATCTCTGTATGAGTCTGTGTCTATGGATGTCTGTGTGTGAATCTATCTTTGACTGTTGTGTCTCTATGGATGTTTGAGTGTGAGACTGTGTCTTTGCGTGTCTATCCGTGCATCTCAGTATGAGCCTGTGTCTATGGATGTCTGTGTGTGAATCTATCTTTGACTGTTGTGTCTCTATGGATGTTTGAGTGTGAGTCTGTGTCTTTGCGTGTCTATCCGTGCATCTCAGTATGAGCCTGTGTCTATGGATGTCTGTGTGTGAATCTATCTTTGACTGTTGTGTCTCTATGGATGTTTGAGTGTGAGTCTGTGTCTTTGCGTGTCTATCTGTGGATTTCTGTATGAGTCAGCCTGTGTCTATGGATGTCTGTGTGTGAATATATCTTTGACTGTATGTCTCTATGGATGTTTGAGTGTGAGCCTGTGTCTTTGTGTGTCTATCTGTGGATCTCTGTATGAGCCTGTGTCTATGGATGTCTGTGTGTGAATCTATCTTTGACTGTTGTGTCTCTATGGATGTTTGAGTGTGAGTCTGTCTTTGCGTGTCTATCTGTGGATTTCTGTATGAGTCAGCCTGTGTCTATGGATGTCTGTGTGTGAATCTATCTTTGACTGTATGTCTCTATGGATGTTTGAGTGTGAGTCTGTGTCTTTGATCTTTCACTTTGTGCGAGTCTGAGCATGTGAGTTGCCTTGACTTTATCTTTGCGTCTATGCATGTCTGTGTGTCTCCGACTTTATATGTCTATGCATGTGTGTGTTTGCGTCTTTTTATGTGCATGTGTCTATTGATGTATGTGCATGTGTCTATTGATGTCTGTGTACGTATCTGAGTGGGTTTGTGAGTCTATGCACTTTACCAAACAGGTCTATAAGGCTATACAGGGACTGTTTGTTTATTGTGGGGGCGAAGCAGTCGGGAGATATTAACATGCTCGCCTGATTTGTATGAGATCGTGAGTTCAATCACGTCCCTGACGCCTGTATATTTTGAGCATGCATCTTTCTCTCTCTCCTGGTGGTTGTGTGGATTTTTATTCGTGTCCTCCGGTTTTTCCCTTCACATTCATAAACATGCATTTAGAGTATTTAGCTACTACTATAAATTTCCACGTGATAAGCCAGTTTGTTGAGCTATCATTTGTGATAGTCAGGTAGCTTCTGAAAAAAAAGCTACATAGGTCAGTGAACCTTATATTGTTGAAAAAATTGCGTGAAAATATATCTTTGTCTATTTTTGTGTGCATCTGTGCACGCATCTGCGAATCTGTCTTTGTGTTAGTCTGTGTGTGTGTGCATGTGGTGCTGGCCACCCACCCCTTCGTGTGCTGTACCGGCTTTCATGCTACTTGCTAACAGCGCTTGCCCCAACATACTATGTAGGCCATGAAGAGGATTGTTTTTGTTTTGTCTGTGTCTATTTGCGTTGCACGCGTGTCTCTATCTTGCCACAGCTGTCGTTACCAAGCATAAAGTGAGCACTTTCAGTACGGGATTTCTGGGACACCCTGTGGGTGAGTGAGGTTCATCACACTCAACACCACCACCACCGCCACCACCACGCTCACTGAATCACGATGCTAAAAGGTTTAAACGCTGTTGTTGCCGGGGCATTGGAAAAAATATCAATCACTCGAGTGCCCAATTCGTGTGGTTAAGATGCTCGCATGTCCGAGTAGCATGGTTGGCGATCAACGGTGCGAAAGAAGTTCAACGTACATAGTGGCGGATGCATATCGTATATTATATTGCTCTAAGGGGATTTATGAGTTATCGTAGAGCATGGTCTAAAATCTAAATAGACGGGGCATGATCAGGATGCCAAAATAAGTGACCTCCAATTACATTTAAAAAGCACAAATCCGCGACTCACAAAAAAATGGCGACTTGTTAAAGAGACACACAGACAACCCATATAGAAGAGGAACCCCTCAAATATATGAAAGTAGAGCATCCAATAAGTCCAGCAGGCAGCAGAATCTTAATGCTTCAAATGTGGCCAAAGGCCAAAACGCTCACTCATTCTCACACAAACATCCTAACTTACTTGCAGTCTCACGCACCCACACTCACACACACAAATACACAAAGATCCCCATGTATAGTCTTAACAGACTGTTGGGGAAAGTGCTGTTCACTAACACATATGAAGGCTGGCATGGCACACGAGGGGATGAGTGACCAGCACCATGTCTTTGCGGCCTTTGTCTCCCTAGTAGCGCTGTTGTACACACAGCACCAGATATTCAATTGAGACTGAGTCGACCTAGGCGAGGCCTAGGACAGGATCAGATAATCATGACCAGTGGTGGCCGTGAGCGGGAATTGAAATTGGGTTGCTGGGTTCATAGCGCAGCACGGTAACTGCTAAACCTCCATTCACACACCCATATTCACACACATCACGAACCGCACCTATACAGCAACTGTGACCAAAACGCACGCGACGTGCCTGATCTCGTCGTATTTCGGAAGCTGACCAAGGTTTGAAGCCTGGATAGGGAGTGGATGGGTGACCGCCGTCGTGCACAACACAGGTGTCACAGGCCACTTGCAACGACCCCGAAATGTGGGGGGAGAACCTCATCTAGCAGCGGAATGAGGCTGAATCCACATTCCACAAACTATCCCCTCTCGCTCTTGCAGGAGGCCTGGGCTATGGAGGCCTTGGCTATGGAGGCCTGGGCTATGGAGGTCTGGGAGTTGCTGGTCTAGGCTATGGTGGTCTAGGCTATCCCGGAGCGGCTCTTGGAGGAGCCTACACGCACCATGCAGGTAAGAGATACCCCCCCTTATTCCACACACTCAACCTCTCATACCAAAAAAGTCGTGGTCAAAATAGCATTGGAAATTCCACACTCCTATGGCAAGGGGCGAGTTGATCCACACGACAAACCACTGTTGATCTTTATATTTTTGGTTCTTTCGGTAAAGTCACCACCACGTAGAAGGGAAACAATAAAATAATAAAAATATAAAAAATAAAATTATCACGACGTTTCGACTGCAACACAAGCAATCATCATCAGGTGTGAAAACCACAGCAAGAAAAATTTGAAAAAAGGTTTTCACATCTGATGATGATTGCTTGTGTTGCAGTCGAAACGTCGTGAGAATTTTATTGTTTTATTATTTGATTGTTTCCCTTCTACGTGGTGACTTTACCGAAAGAACCAAGAATATGAATATCTGCAGTCACGAAAGCTTTAAATCAAAATTTTACTATTGATCTTCTCTACTAAGTGTACTCGTTTTAGCCATCAACCAAAAGTTTAACTCTGAACTTGATGATTGCGAGCTGCTCAGCTCTATGGCGGAGCCACCCGGTCAGTTAGGCTCAGCTGCTCCCTAAACGAACTTCAGCACTTCAGACAGCCACGCCCACTCGACCCGTTTGGACTGTGCCAGTCAAAGCAGAGCGGTTTGGTAGGCCCACTAAGATATGCAGCTAATTTTCAGAAGCGACCTGGCCACAAATGATAGCCCAACGAAGTGTCTTACCACGTGGACAATTAAATCATGCAAACAATCTGAACGCACGTTTCTAAATGTGGAGGTGAAATAAAAACCCCATCAAAATCCATGCGGCCACCACGGGGGAGAACACACAAACTCCAAATACACAACAGGCGTCGTCTGGGTTGGGATCGAACCCACGACTTCCTGTACAGCAGGCGAGGTAGTTAACATCTCAGCCACCGTTCCACACCAATCCCTCTTCAACCTCACGTCGAATCTCCTCCCCCCGCGCATTAAACAAGGAACTGTCTTTCCCTGGCAGCTGGGCTCGTTCACCCTTACGGTGGACTCGGATACCATGCGGCCCCCTATCACCATGGTGGGTATGCTGCATGTGCATGAGCTTGCATGTGCCCGCGACCTCAATGTTTAAACTATGATTATGAAAAATCCACATCCCCCTCCCCCACTAACACCATCACGACACCCAAAGATGAACTGTGAGTCACGACAAAAATTCGTCGTGATTATTTCAGTCAACATTTAATTATGGTAGAAGGGTGTAAAAGGTTTGGAATGATAAAGGTATGTATGGGAATAGGGGTAAATCCAATTCTTATTCTCATCGTGACGGTGCAGCCAAACCACTGGCACCGGTGGCAGAAGGTCAGAGGTCAGCTCTAGAGGATCTTTTTAGCCGTCCTAATTTTCCATGCCGGCACGGAGGAGTTGACGGAGGTGGGAGTCACTCCCCACGGTTCCCCTTCCACCGCACGCAATCTGCCGATCGGAAAAAAAAAACTGTGCCGAGCCCATTTCATATTTTGCGGGTGAAGAGATGCGGAACCGCATTTCCCCAATGTCACATCTCAGAAGTTAAGAAGATGTTGAGTCGGGATAGTGCTTTGATTTGGGTGACAAGCCGCCATGCATGGACCGGATGTCAAGGAATGTTAAATTTGGTTCTGTAAAGTTATTGCCACTTTAATTAAGCGGTGACCGCTTCTATTTACGTGGAGCATTTTAGCTTCGAAACGCAAAGGTTAAAACATTTGGGGATGTCGGGTTGGTGGTGGATGGGGGGGATTTTAACAAAATAGTCTAATCTTTAACTATCATCATCGATATAATTAATTTCCACAATCACTGCTGTTGTTTTATAATGGGACCTAACCGATATTTTGTCCGCAGTTACAGCAACAGCAGTGGGGTATGCGCACGAATGATGATACCTGGCGTCGATGATGATTTGTGTTGATCGCAATAAGTGATAATGATCTTGTCATTATTACTATTACCCTGACCAGTAACAACACAGCTCGGCTCAATCAGTAGAAATCGTCTTTGCAGTGTTAGCTGTGAGCACCACTAATGTTGTTGCGAGTTTATACTCACGAGACGAGCAGAAAGGCAGCTGCAAAACATGCAGTGATTGATGGTGAGAGGGGACAGGTAGGAGTGTGGATGGAGAGAATAGAGCATTGATTATTTAAATCAAATGAACCTCAAGAAGGCCGATGGCACTCACAATATGGTAGTTTAACCCTGGCTAACCTGTTTGTTACTAAACGCAGAGGAGCCTCAAGAAGGCCGATGACAAGACGGTAGTCGAACCATGAGTAATTTTGTTGATCACCGAAGGCAGAGGAACCTTACATATGCCATCGGGATTAGGGATAATCTGTTGATTCCTAAAAGTGAATGCCATCTTGATCTCTAGCATAACACAAGTACGTTGAAATTCCTTCGCATCGTACCTAGCCAACTGTGCTAATCGGAGGTGTGGAGGAAGGACAGCTAAACAAAAAGAAGCAGTTCGCTAGAAATTAGTTTTCGATCTAGATAATGTAAAAGTACCGCAGCTCCAATGGCTTCCGAATATCGGAAGAGCGTTCCAGACGGCCGCAGAAGCGCATGTGAAAGGGCCACGCGATGATGCGGCGACGGTCTTTGTTCGATGGCCACCCAAAAGCCGCTGCAAGTGTATCTATGTTGGAACATCTATCACACCGTACTTTTTCAAAACGTGCTAAATCGGACGTGCGTAGGGAGTGTAGCTGGGCGAGGTTAAATTTTTAACCACCATTTTTAACCCCCTCCCTCTCCACCCTGCTGTTTGTTGTTTGCAGCCCTCGGCGGACTCGGCTACCCCCTGGGCATTGGCGCCGGTGTCGTGGCTCCCCACGTGGTGAACAGCAAAATCGGTGAGGGTTCCTTCGCTTTGTACGGCTATGGAGTGTGTGTGTGTGTGTGTTTAGTGCGTGTTTTGATAACTGTGGTGGCTGACTGTTGGAGCCCTCATTTCCTACTTGATTTGAAGCTTTCGTGACTGCAGGAATTACTCTTTGTTTTTTTTCGGTAAAGTCACGTGTAAATAAGAAATAATAAAGTGACATAATAGCGTGCGACGTTTCGGTTGCAACACAAGCAGCCATCATCAGGTAAAGAAAGAGCTAAATTTACGAGAGAGGGGAAAGACATAACATCAGATGTATTTACAGACACCCAAGTAGGGGGGGAACTAACACAGATACAACAGGGGACACAGAGAGAGAAGCATACCAGACAAACAGGGTTTAGCAAAATTTTGGAAACCATATAAAGCAACACAGACGGTCGGTCAAAACACAATTAACGCATGGTCCGGTTGATCACGCTATTTCAAAGATTGCTAATCCTCTCAACAACGTCTGCCGTGGTCAATATTACGTTGCAACACGCGCCTGAGTCTCTGTTAACCTTTGCCTGTGACGTGCGCCATGTCTGCAGCTGCCCCGTTGGCGCCTGTTGTTGCTGCCATCTAAATCGTCACCGGTAAGTGAAGCTCGCAGAGACACCAAAGACTCACACAGAGGCCCGTACACTAACACAGAGACCCATACACCTAGCCAGACACCCAAAACAGTTATACAGAGACACATAACTGTTCCCAGACATCCGTACACTGACAGAAAACCAAAAGACTTATGCAGATATCCTCAAACTCGACAAGAGAATTGCCAAAACCTCCCGCAACCGAGTAGAACCTTCCCAAATAGAGTATTGAAGCTTCTGGGTGGATTGGTGGCACAGCGATTAAAAGTGTGGAGGTGCACATGTCTCGACACAGTGCAGGGACACGTGGATTAGAGAACACATGAAAGTTATTGTCTCCCCCCCAACGGCAACAATAGATGGCCAACGCTCACAACAATGAGCGGAACAACCAGATGGATGCTAAAATGTGGCAAGTTAACACAGTGATGAGCACACCTGCAAGTCATCTCAGTCAGCCGAGTGCATAGCAGCTCGGTTTGTGATCATGACCTGCCAGCAGCAAGTGCCTCCCACACATCACCTGACCCCGTCAGCGTGCACCTAGCCTGGTAAAGGCCCCATTGTGACGTCACTATCACTTGAGTGGTGATTCGACAGGGGCTGTTGTTGTTGCTTTCTAAATGTGCCATGCGTGTTTGTTTGTATGTCCGTGCACAGTGACTGGAGAATTGCTAGGCGATCGTTGACTTGCCGCACCAGGTAACTATTCAGCCTCATACCCTTTGGTATGAATCCTTGCAGTCACGAAAGCTTCTATCTAGAATTATTCCATCTCATTTTGTTCCATTATTCTTGACACTAGTTGGCCCATTCCCGCATTTTGCGGCGCTAAATTCGTGCTGCCTTCTGCACTGATTTGACGCGATGCTTTCATTCCCTTAGATGAACAGGGAAGTTCGTGGTTCACGAATTCCTCCTCTGTATGTGGAAGTTTTATTCCCCAGGCCCCGCCCCTCTGGAGGCTCCACCCCTTTATCATTAGGCTCCACCCATTCCCTCCCCCCCCCCCCCCAGACGCAGGCATGTCTTGTTGTTTTTAAAGGAAGTGCCCAATTAGTTTTCACCCCATGTGGAAATCGACTCGGCTAAACCCGAGTCGATTTCAGTGAGGAATTGTGAGAGGGGTAGTGATCGGGGTTGTGGAAGGAGGGGAGGGGATACGTACTATGTATATGTTGAACTTCTTTGGCGCCGTACTTAGCCAACCGCGCTCATCGGAAGCGCGGTGGAAGGACAACCAACTGAACACACAAAAAGCTGGTCTAAGGAAATGAGTTATCGATCTAGATTACTTAAAAGTGTATAGCTCCAGTGGTGAAGGGTTCTTAAAGGATTCTTTAGAGAAACAGGTTTGGACCTATCTTTGTGTGGGCCTAACCCACAAATTGATGATTTATAACGCTGGCCATGAAGGCCGACCAACGTTTTTTTGAGTGCAACTTTTTAATTGATCTGTGATGCGTGCGCGCGTCCGTGCCCAGCCCTGCGTCCCCTCTGCAGTCACTTCAAACAGAAGTGTTGCCTGCGGAAGTGACTCAAGGCTCCGGTGAAGAAGTGACTTGATGAAGGTTATGCACAGCCTCCGCCAACTACCACCCACCAAAGGGAGCATAGGTTCACCACCTACTCCCCTCCCATACCTGCCCATTCATACCCATCCTCCCCAAGCCCTTGACTCTTACACAAATTCTCATCATCATCGGCGCAATGGTATCTTCTCGCCATTTGTTAAGTTTGTGACCCCTAATCCCATGCCAATTTCCTGCAAATTACGCCATTCGGACCCTTAAGTGCGTGAGTGTGTAATCGTGTGACAGAGTGAGTGCGTGACGAAAGTGGGTGGGCGGGTGTGCCGGCGTCTCTCCATAACGTTTTCTGAACTTCTCGGCATTAACACAAATGACGATGAATGAACACGACCTGGAAAACAAAATCTACCACGAATAGTATAAAATTTATATATATATTTTAAAACCCTGACATTTATCGTTAAAAAAACAAAAAAGTATGGTGGCGAGGGAAGCACGCACACGGATTCCGATTCTGCAATCTGGGGGAGTAAATCAATCGGGCGGGTGAAATTAGTCTGTGATGAAAGCTGTTAACGTTAAGGAAAATATATGAACATTTAAATCATAATGGGACTTAGGAATCGACTGTTCGACTGGACAGTAACCAAAAATAAATCAGCTGGATTGGGATGATGGGTGCTACTCCGATGGGAGTTTGGTTCACAGGTGAATATATACACGAATGATATCTGGGTTCCAAACGCCCCCTCCCCCATATCTGTGTGTGCCCCCTTCCCCCTACACCGAGTATACACCTATCGTTATTTAGCTCTTGTCAGCTCCAGAGTTTTGTTTTAACCGGTCGTGAAGTGAGGACACCTCCAAATCATCCTCCAAGAATTCGAGATCATTGTGGATCAAAGATCTGGTTGACTTTGGCTCCAAAACGTTTGATAGTGGTCGGTCGAAAATTTTCGACAACGGATTGTGTGCGTCTGCTAACGCCAAGGGTCATTAACAGCTGTCGTGGTTTTGTCATTCGCGATTACGATTTCATCGGCTGGAAATTCAGTTGCACCGTGGATAACGGATGTTGAGTTACGAGCGGCTTAACGATTGAATTACTCGGCCGATGAGATGGCACAGGCGTCTGTTGGATAGTATGATAAAGGTTGTTAAGTTCTGGATTGACTCGACGCGACTTGGGTGGGTGTGTTCTGGGAAACGTCCTTCTTGTGTGCCGGATTAAAATAAAAATCTGTACTCACTGCCCTTACGCGTTCCATTGCGTCATAAATCAACTACCGTGTGTGTGTGTGTGCATGCAAACGCGTGCGTGTAGTACGTTGTTACACATCCAACTCTCACGTGACCCAATAGTTAACCAAAGCAACCAAAGTATGGAAATCGTACACGGTAGTAAACCGTTTGCCTTCTGGTCCATTCACGTATAAGAGAGATTAACCTGCCAGACACCTGGTGACCCAGACTCTTAAGTGCAGTTAAACTGTCACGGTTTGCACTACACAGATACAGCTCGCGCAGATTCAGCGTAGCTACACGGCACATTAGCTTCACAATGATTCTATGAAAGGGGGGAAAAAAAAAAACCAGAGGACCCGGAGAAAAATCCACGCGAGCACGGGAAGAGAACATGCAAACTTCAAATATACAGTCGTTAAGAGTCGGGATCGAACCCACATCCTCCTGCATACCTGGCAAGGTAGTTAACATCCCGCCATCGTGGCGAGATGCTGGGAGACCAGCACTGAGGCTTCAGTGCTGGCAGTCTGTAACTTCAGGTTGGCAGTCAGTAACATGCTGATCCGCCCCTATTGGACTTCAGTGAAAAAAGAGCTTCATAGCTGATCGCATTCCTCCAGTCCAAATAAAGATTCTGATTCTATTGGCATTTGAAATGCATTGCTACAGGATACTGCGTCTAAACTGGAGCCAAAGAGTGACCAATGTCGAAGTAAGAAAAAGGTCGCGCATAAAGGAAGACGAATTGATGATGCAGGCGGTAATGAGAAGGAATCTGGCACTATCGGGACACATATGAGGATGGGCAAAAGGAAAATTCAAATTATGTTCGGCAAAATTGAAGGAACCAGCAAGAGAGGAAGACACCCACTACGGGCTATCTGCCCATGGATCACGATTCGTCTTTCGTATATTCTTTGGGTCTTTCGGTAAAGTCACGTAGATAGGTTAAAATTAATAAAAAATAAAATAAGCAAAAAGAGCCAACATTTTGATTTAAAGCTTTCGTGACTACAGGGATTCATATTCTTGGTTCTTTCGGTAAAGTCACGTAGAAGGGAAACAATAAAATAATAAATAAAAATATAAAAAAAATTATCACGACGTTTCGACTGCAACACAAGCAATCATCATCAGGTGTAAAAACCACACCTGATGATGATGATGCAGTCGAAACGTCGTGAGAATTTTATCGTTTTATATTTTTATTGATTATTTTATTGTTTCCCTTCTACGTGACTTTACCGAAAGAACCAAGAATATAAAAAGAGACTATTTTATTTTTATCAATTTGAACCTGATGACGACCGCTTGTGTTTCGATCGAAACGTCCTAATTTGATTTTAATTAATTTGAACCTATGTGACTTTACCGAAAAACGCAAAGAATATGAATTCCTGCAGTCACGAAAGTTTTAAGTCAAGATATTATTTCGTACATCATGGGAGGTGTGGGGGAGGATATGCCGGCGTGGGGTAGAAATAAACTTCTTTAAAAAAGTTGTTTTTAAACATCGGTTTTTTTCAACGGTTCGATTAACTCACGGTCTTTGACAAGTGCGTCAGTGGCGCCTGAGGCACGCGGCACCTGCTTTTTGTGCGAGCCGATTCCACAGGTTAGGGACCGCGGCGTTTTTTGACCTACACAAATATATACGAATAATAAGGCGTCCATACGAAACGTAAATTGCTTTAGAGTAGCGACTTAATTTATCAATTGATGCCGATTTTCATACAGGCGTGCATTGTCACCGGATCTGAGTACGTGTGCAAAATGTGGAATTTATTGGACAACGGGAAGTGGACGGAATTTTGATTACAAGAGTTGACCACGACAAACAGAGGTATCAAGTTAAGTAAAACCTTTGAAAAAAAAAAACAAGGCGTTGTAGCATAGTTTCGACAATGCTCTATTATTGCAACTCGCTACTCTACCGGGAGTCTGGCCAAAAAAAATGTATCAAGCTGCCGCACATACAAAACTCTTTGGCACGTTTCGTGATGGGTACCTAAAGATCCGACAAAGACCGTCCAGTGCTCGCTTAGCTGCATTGCCTTCCAGTTGCCAAGGGGAATATGTTATAAGGTCGCACTCGGGGGGCATACACAAAGTGCTTTCCACAAATGCACCGCAATATCTTGCCGATTTGGTCAAGGAGCCTAAAACCGTCGTGAGAACTCCGGTCATCCTCGCCGCTGCTTTTGGCTAGCCATCGAACAAATACGGTCACTGCATCGCGCGGATTCACAAGCGCTTTCGCGGCCGTCTGGAACGCTCTTCCATCCGATATTAGGAAGCCACTGGAGCTATGCAGTTTTAAATCTTCGAGATTGGAAACTTCGTGTCTAGTTTGTCGTTCTTCATCAGCACTTAGAAATCAGCAGGGTTGGCTGCGTATGGTGCCAAAGAAGTTCAACATACATACATACATACATTCTGGCCAGATCCTTATCAAAATCTGTATTTACACTGGAGGAATCCGATGAGCTGTGAATCTCTTTTCACAGACGTCCAGAGTGGGTGAGTCAGCAAGTGACAACAAATAATACAAAAACACGATAGCAGTGCAAAATAGAGAAAATTGTATGCAAGTCACTAAATACGAATGTTTTGTTTTTGTTAATTCATAAGATAAGTCTGATTTATCAAGATTGGGCAAGGCAGCAAAAGCATCAACAAGCCAGTCCCAGACCACACCAAGACAACACAGCAGCAGGAGTCCCTCAATAAAATGGCACGTTCACATCGAACCATCGATATACTACACGGGTAATGATCAAAGTAACGAATCACATTTGCAAACGTGGCTGTGCTGTATCCAGCACTAATCTTCCTGCTTCGGATCGTCCAGCTGCAGCCTCAGTCCGGCGTCAACAGTTGGCTCAACGAACCAATCGAGCAGGAATGATCTCAAGTGTCAGATAACTCCCCCGCCCCACAAACTCACAGCGAGTGAGAGAGTACACGGTCCTTCATTTCACCACAACGGCGAAGAATAAATTGCGCCCATGAATCACTGCCGACAAGCGGTTAGTCCATGCACCAGTGTAGACATCAGTACCACGGAATGTGGCAAAACTTTGGTTAGTTTAACACGTAGGTTTTCGCGACCGATAATCTGTATAACACGTAGGCTTTCGCTGTGTCCGAAACAAGTTAATCAACTACGAACCAAAATAGATTCAAATGGTTATCACATTAAGGCAGTTGTTGGCCACATACATTTGAACCATTAAAGTAATTCGACCTTATATTGTTCCGACGAGTGAAATATTTGGTCTGGGCTCATATGCACGTTGTGCATTTCTAGATTTGAAGCTTTTGTGACTGCAAGGATCCATACTTTTTGGTTCTATTCGGTAAAGTCACATAGGTAAAAACTAAAACAACAAAAATCACGACGTTTCGGCCACAACACAAGTAGCCTTCTTCAGGTGAAGGAACAGAACTGTCGGGGCGACAGAGCTTCAATGAACGCTGCTAAGATTCGTAGCGTCAAGGTGCCTCACTTATCTCACCCAGCTTAAAAGACGCTACGAATCTTAGCAGCGCTCATTGAAGCTCTGTCGTCCCGACGGTTCTGTTCCTTCACCTGAAGAAGGCTACTCACGTTGCGCATGTTGAACTTCTTTTTTTTCATCGTACATAGCCAACCGCGCTAATCCGAGGTGCGGGGGCACTGACAACAAACCAAACACCAAAAGCAATTCTAAAGACGTTAGTTTTCAATCTAGATTATTTAAAGGTGCATAGCTCCAGTGCCTTTCCTAATATTGGACGGAAGAGCGTTGCATGCGGCCGCAGAAGCGCATCTGAAAGCGGGCAATGCCAAAAACAGACAGCCGCGGGCCGCGGTGCGCCCCCTACCGCCACGGGAGGCATTTGATCCATCGTTAAACCGCTCGCTAAGCGAATATTTTGCGCATTTTGCGAAACAAATCGGGGCTAAATTCCAATTGCTCATTTTAACGAATTACCGTAAACAAAAACGCTTGCCACGCGAGGTGCGCCGGTACTCGTGCAGCCAGCGCCACGCGGCTGCTCGAGCTAACAGGACAGCCTCACAATGAAAGAACATGAGTGGGTCATGCAACACTTTATACAAAAGCGCTCTCCTGAGTCACATTTGTATCTAAAACATTAAACAATTTTTACATCACCAAGTAAGACCGACTGAGCAACCCTGGCTATCACAGACGATAGCTCAAGGCAATGACTCATCACATGGACATATATATTGTGGCAAAATACTTTAAATGCATGTTTCTACAAACTCAGAGACCCAGAGACCCACGGAGATCCAGAGACCCATGAAGACCATATGAGACCCATGCTCATCGAGACTCAAGACAAAAAAAATCAATTTTTACACGCTTTCTTTTAACTCACTCTGTTGTTGTAGTCGTTGTTGTATCCTCAAATCTTCGAACTCAATTTTAACCCACTTACCAATGTGGTATCGACTGCAAACTCGGTATACGTATGTCATACTGATGACAATGCTATATTCTATCATAAAAAATACAAATAAATATTTTAAAACATTATTTTTTATATGTTATGTTTCGGCTTGGGTCTAATTGTCCCACGCTCAACAGACGTTGGCTGTAAATCACCACGGTCTCCCTTACGTTATGGGCAAGCTTCGGGGCCACTTCCTGGAGTCGTGGAGCTCTGCCATTACTAGTACGGTACATTTCATAAAAGCGTGTTTTAAAAAAAAAGTAAAAAAATATATTACTTATTAATCTCTACCAGGCAATGCCATCCACTGGGAGAAGTAGTTATTTTTCAGAAGCGACCTGGCCACAATATAATCGTTCAACAAAGTGCCCTTGTGACGTGGAAATTTATAGCGGCCAAAATATTCTTAAACACACACCGATTATGAATGTGGAGGGATATACCGGACAGGTAGAGAGAGAGACATTTAGAAACAAATGATAGGCTAATGAAGTGGTTTATGTGGAAATTTAGAGCAGCAGCTAAATACTCAAAACCCGTTATGTTGATTCAACATCTGGAGGAACCAGAGAAAAATCCGCACGACCACGGGGAGAACTTGCAACTCCAAATATGCAGCAGGCATAAGGGTCGGTCGGTATCGAAGCCACGACCTTCTGTATACCAGGCAAAGTAGTTAACATATCATAGCCAACGTGGCGTTCTGGAACGGTGGCCAAGAGATATAAGCCGACACGCCACAAACACTACCACTGTTAAATTTTGATTTGAAGCTTTCGTGACTGCAGGGATTCATATTCTTGGTTCTGTCGGTAAAGTCACCACCACGTAGATAGGGAAACAATAAAATAATAAAAATATAAAATGATACAATTCTCACGACGTTTCGACTGCAACACCAAGCAGCAATCATCATCAGGTGTGAAAACCACAGCAAAGAATTTTTTTTAAAAGTGGCGTTTTTTATTCTTTTATTTTTGCCTTCTACGTGACTTTACCGAAAGAGCTAAGAATATAACCAAGAATATAATACTACTGTTCATTCCCCCAGTCGCTCCTACTGATCCAGCACTGAATGTATGATAACACGTATATCTCAGACATTGTATGTTGGTTTAGCCTCGATTTACTCTTCAAAAACACTAGAATTATACGTAAATAAAACATTTACTTTTAATATATCATTTCATACATCTATAAATGAGACAAATAATAGTGTACTGATAATAAATACATAAAATAAATACCTTTTTTCCCTATCGGAATCAACAATTAAAGTATTCTCCACCATATTCTTGGTTCTTTCGGTAAAGTCACGTAGAAGGGAAACAATAAAATAATAAAAATTTAAAAAATCAAATTATCACGACGTTTCGACTGCAACACAAGCAATCATCATCAGGTGTGGAAACCACAGCAAGAAAATTTGGTTTTCACACCTGATGATGATTGCTTGTGTTACAGTCGAAACGTCGTGAGAATTTTTTTATTTTTTTATTATTTTATTGTTTCCCTTCTACGTGGTGACTTTACCGAAAGAACCAAGAGTATAAATCCCTGCAGTCACGAAAGCTTTAAATCAATATTCTCTACCAATCAACGCATTCATCTGAAATTGCAGGTCCGAGGATGCAGGGATAGCCATTCTGTGCGCTTTTGACAATGCAAACTGAAAAAGTAACAAGAAATTTAACTACCCGATTAATGGCCTCTATTTTTGTTTTATGTTCACCATCCACAACGTAATAATCACCTTCCCATTCCTGTGTATACGCCTTAATCCACCTCCCATGGACCAAAAACAGCGAAGTCATTCAAGCTCGTGAACGTAATTCAACAAAGGCGGCCATTGGGTGGGACCTCGGGCGCCATTTTGTTTTGATACACTTTGGTGGGGGGGGCCAAAAAAACGCGGCCTGGCCAATTACTCGAAAATCAACACCGAAAGTTCACATCTCGTACTCTGTAAAAGTTGCCCAAGAGACACGACATCTGCCCAAACGCCACGTAACATCACGCTGCTCAATCAGTAGATTGGAATCGAGCAAAGAGGTGCTTTGTGTACGACCAGTATGCTGAAATGATTTTGCACCGAACGTGGAGCCAAACGTTTTGAGCACGGAATCGCCACAGCTGCGCATTAAAAAATGCCCAGAATCGACTTTGACGAAGTCAACTGTACACACGTTAATGATCCATTAGGCCTCGCAAGCCTCCCTCGCATCATAGGGAGAAAGGGTGAAATCCGATTAATGCCGGCACACAAGGACGACCCGGCAGATGTCACAACTCAAAAAAAATCGACAGTCAGCATCGCTTTTCATTGAGCTATTCTCATTTGACGATATCAACGAGCGCCAATGATGTCCAGCAAAACTTTGGACGGGTCGTTGGAGCCACAACCTCTTGAGCACGGATCCGTTGCAAGGTGCCGGTCTGGGCGTGGCCTATACACGTGCACTAGCGGCTCAGGAGCCAATCCCCGAGTCGCCGTTTATTGCGTCACGCGATGGAGCACGCGCCCGAGTCCTGTCAATTACGCGCCGAGAACGCAACGGCAACAAGATGCACGACAAGACGAACACTCTTCTCTGGTTCTTTCGGTAAAGTCGCGTAGAATGAATTTATTAATTTTATTCTCATTCTACGTGGTGGTGGTGACTTTACCGAAAGAACCAAAGAAGATGAATCCTTGCAGTCACGAAAGCTTTAAATCGAAGACGAATACTGATGGGCACCGATGGACTGAAACAAAACCCCCAGCTTTGTTCGGCTTAACATTCAGTTTAAATAATAAAGTTTGCTTGGGGGGGGGGCTGTTAGATCCCATGAATATAAATGTATCGTTAACCCACCACCAGCGGACACAGTAAACAAACGGGGTTGTCACGTAAACGAAATATATATTAGGTTTCTATTTCAGCACTGACTGGTGTTGTAAATGTCGTGGATTCAGAGAAAATAGGACTGAAGAGTCTTTGTCCTGTGAATATACTTTAGGTGTGCACATTTGGAAAGAAATGACAGTACTGTCCAATAAATATATACATGCGTTGGTGTGTCCATGTGTATGTTTTAATTAGTGAGGCGCACTGTAAAATAACCTTGCCACTGGGGAGACAAAGGCGGTAGGGAGTGTTGGCACAAACTCCCTCGTGTATGGTGCGGGCCGACATAAGCGCTCGTTAACAGCACTTGCCCCAACAGTCTGTTCAGGCTATACGGGGGAGCTTTGTCTAATTAATATACAAAGCTCATGCGATTATACATTTGCATGTATATATGTATGTGCATGCACGTTGTGTGCGTGTGTATGACAGAATTAATCTGAATCGGTGTATGTATGTGTCAAGCTGTTAACTACCTCGCCTAGTACACAGGAAATCGTGGGTTCGATCTCGACCCTGATGCCTGTGTATTTGGAGTTTGCATGTTCTCCCCGTGGTCGTGTGGATTTTTATCCGGGTCCTCTAGATTTTCCCTCCCCATAAAGAAACATGCGTTTAGAGTGTTTGACTGCTGCTATAATTTTACACGTGTTAAGCCACTTCATTAGGCAATAATTTGTGGGCAGGTCACGTGTGAAAAAGTGCTACCTCGCTCAGTGAGTCTTACCTGGAAAAAAAAACATTGTTTTTAGTTTTAATGTGTGAAAATAAATATAAGCTTATAAAAGTATGTTTACATATACACAGAATGTGTGTTTATGTGTGATGAACGGTGGCCAAGAAGAACAGGTTGTGCGTGGTGGGGTTGAGAGAAGGCCAAGTCAGGTTGTGAGTTGAATCGTTTAAAGCAAAAAAAAACCTCCCCCATTAAAACCAGTGCAAAAAAAAAAGATTAACTTCAATGAAATGAAATTGATTAACCATAAGGGTAAAAAATCATCCAAAATAAATACAAGCGGGCAAGAGTGGCATGCTTGTTTCGGCAGACGTCTGGAACACTTTTCCAAAACTAGGAAACTACTGGGAGCTATGCGCTTTAAAATCTAGATTGCAAACTCATTTCTTGAGAACTGCTTTTAGTTATAATTTAAAGCTTTCGTGACTGCAGGGATTCATATTCTTGGTTCTTTCGGCAAAGTCACGTAGAAGGGAAACAATAAAATAATAAAAATATAAAACAATGCAATTGTCACTTGCCTCCAGTATTTTATTGTTTTATATTTTTTATTATTTTATTGTTTCCCTTCTACGTGACTTTACCGAAAGAACCAAGAATATAACCGCTTTTAGTGTTTAGTTTATTGTCCTTCCCTCGCACCTCCAATTAGCACGTTTGGCTACGTACGGCGCAGAAGAGGTTCGACATACATACACATATTCTAGTCCACGGCCCCTGCTGGTCTCATTCCATGTGGATGAGTTCCTAAAACAATAACACCTCGATTCACATCTCCCCCGTTTGCATCATTTCGCAAAGACTTCATCACTTTATGAATACCGCTCCACGATTTGCGTCACCTCAACCCCAGTAAACCGCGTCGATGGACGTTGTTTCCATAATCGTCGCAAATCTCAGGAAAGCATCCCCCACGTACACAAGGGTATTGATCTTCTTTGGTTCTTTCGGTAAAGTCACGTAGAATGAGAATAAAATTAATAAAATAAAAAAATGACTTTACCGATAGAACCAAAGAAGATGAATCCTTGCAGTCACGAAAGCTTTAAATCAAAATTTAGGGTATTGCTGTTTTATAATGTCTATAATTCACAATGGTCGGATGGAATTATGGCATTAAGAAGCCTACCAAGGCATCGGAAGTCCTAGGTCGGGGGTTTTAACTGCGCCACTGTTGGCGAGATGTTAACAACCTCGCCTGGTACACAGGCGGTTATGGGTTTGCATATTCTCCACCGTGGTCGTATGGATTTTTCCTCCGGGTCTTCTGTTTTTTGTCCTCCACATTTAGCATCAACATCAAGGCATGTAGAGTATGTGGCTGCTTTGCATTTCCACACAATGACATCAGCCACTTCGTTGTGCTATCATTAGTGATGGCCAGGTTGCTTCTGAAAAAGATCCATGTTAGCAGTGGACCTTACCTGGTAAAAAACAAGAGTTTAGTTCAATATCGAGGCAAATGCGACATTTAGCTGTGTCGAGTGGAAATGTACTGAAACTCAAGTAAAAAAAAACCCAAAACCCCAAAAATATTTAGAGAAATATTTTCAATACCTCCCATATTTTGACAGTAAATAGACGCGGTGCTTTGCTTTTGGCGTTTGCCAGCGCTACACTGGAGCTATTGAGGCTAGGCCTTGTCTTGGCTGGGTCAAAGCCAAGCCAGCCCCTGGTAGCTGCCTTTAAAAGCCGGGGCTCAAACTCCCAGGCTCGTCACTCCGCAGTGAAGCTTCATCAGCCTCAACTCAAAGCCCTCCTCTCCTCGTCGTCGACAGCGAAAGTAGAAAACCCTTAAAGAAAAATGGCCGCCGCTATCCAAGCTCTGCTCGTCCTGGCCCTCCTTCACCTCGCCACTGCGACGCGTAAGCTGGATGGAATCTCTGCGTGTGCATCTTTATCTGTCTATCTGAGGATCTCTGTGAGTGCGAGTCTGCGTCTGACTTTGTGTGTCAATGTATGCCTCTGTGGTGGCGGCGATGATTTTTATCCAGTTTCTCTAATTTCCCCCTCCGCATTCAGAAACACGTGTTTAGAGTTCAATTTCGATTTAAAGCTTTCGTGACCGCAAGGATTCATCTTTTTTGGTTCTTTCGGTAAAGTCACGTAGAATGAGAATAAAATAATAAAATAAAACAATGAAATTCTCACGACGTTTCGGCCACAACACAAGTAGCCTCCTCAGGTGTCTTCTGGACAGTCCTGTTTCTTCACCTGAGGACGGCTACTTGTGTTGTGGCCGAAACGTCGTGAGAATTTCATTGTTTATTTTATTATTTTATTCTCATTCTACGTGACTTTACCGAAAGAACCAAAGAAGACGTGTTTAGAGTGTTTGGCTGATGCTATACATTTCCACATCAGCCACTTTGTTCAGCTATCATTCGTGACCAGGTCGCCTCTGAAAAAGAGTTACATAGCTCAGTCGGCCTTACCTGGTAAAATAAAAAAAGATTAAGTCTGTGCATCTGTTTGTGTGTCCGTGTGCACGCATCTATGGCTGTCTTTATCTTTTTGTATCTGTGGTGCTGGCCATCCACCCGCTTGTGTGCCGCTACTTGCCTCAATAATTGTTACTCGTGAACGAGACTTGCTCCAACAGTTTGTTAAGGCTACAGGGAGAATTTTTGTAGGAGCAGTGTGGTGTGGTGTTTAGCGCACTGTGCTATGAACATGGATACCTGAGTTCGATTCCCGCTCACAGCTAATAACGGTGGCGAATAATTGAACTGGTCCTGGGCTTTTCTTTGACTCAGAATTAAATGCAAGTGCATCACCTTGATTTGAAGCTGTCGTGACTGCAGGAATGAATTATCTTTGGTTCTTTCGGTAAAGTCACGTAGATAGAAAAATAGCTAATAGATCACGACGTTTCGATAGCAACACAAGCCATCGTCTTCAGGTGAAACAATATAACAGGCAGACTGCTGAGGCAGGAGGAAATGTAGCAAGAGAGCTACTGCAACCAGAGGTTATAAAAGTTTGTGATGGGTACAACCCAAGGGTAAGTAGGCGGGGCTAGGGATGGAATTTGCAAGTAAATTTTAAGGCTAGTAAACGTCGGCTGATTAAATTTACAGTGGGAACAAGGTGATAGAGAGGAAAAAAGATATCAAACCTAACAAACTTAGAAATGTAATGCAACTCAGAGAGTCGGCCAACACAACAGTTAACACTTTACCTGGTTGATCAACGTCCTTCCAAAGATTGCTATATTTTGCATCTATCTTCTCGGCTGAAGATATGTCTGAGTTATGTGGAAATCCTCCCCGTAGAGGTGGTTCAATCTTGATTTGAAGCTTTCGTGACCGCAGGAATTAATACAGCGCCCTCTTACCCTTGGGTTGTACCAACCAAAAACGTATATAACCTCTGGTTGCAGTAGCTCCTTTGCTACATTTCCTCCGGCCTCGGCAGTCCGCCTGCTGTATTGTTTCACCTGAAGATGATGGCTTGAGTTGCTATCGAAATGTCGTGATCTATTAGCTACTTTTTCTATCTACGTGACTTTACCGAAAGAACCAAAGAGTAATAATTGTATGGGTCAGTGTATAAACATCACCAGTGTGGAGACAATGGCGGCTGGCCGCTATGCCTTCTAACATCACTTGCCCCAACATGCTATGTAGGCTCTGAAGTTGATTGTTTTTGTCTCTGTGTCTATTTGTGTTGCGTGCGTGTCTCTGCCTTGCCACAGCTGTCATTGGCAAGCAGACAGTGAGCACTTTGTCTACGGGATATCTGGGCCACCCTGTGGGTGAGTGAAGTTCATCACAACTCAGCACCACTACACTCACTCACTGAATCACAACGCTAAACGGTCTAAACAGTGCTGTTGCCAGTGCATTGTAAAAATGTCAATCAATCGAGTGCCCAATTAGTGCTGTTATGATGGCTCGAACCTCCGATTAACACGGTTGGTTATGTAGGGTGCGAAAGATGTTCAACTTAGTGGCAGAGGCATATCGTATATTACATTGCTCTAAGACGATTTTAGGTATCGTATTGCATGGTCTAAATAGACAAGTGGGCGACGGGGCATGATCAGAAAGCCCAAATAAGTGACCTCCAGTTAAATAAAAAAAATCTGTAACTCTAAAATAAATGGCGACATGTTAAAAACACAAACACAACCCATATAAAGGAGGAACCCTTCAAAGAAATGAAAGCATAGTCCAGAAGGCAGCATAGTCCAGCAGACAGCAGAATCTAAATGCTTCAAATATGGTCACAGGCCAACACGCACACTTCTCACGCATACATACTCGCTCACATCCTAACACTCACACCCATTTTCTTACACCCACTCACAATCACTCACACATTCTTAGATGCACATAAACACTCATTTGTGTGCGCATATGAACGTGTTTTTGTTTTAACAATGTCTCCCTACCTCCCTATGTCTCTTCGTTAACCCATGCATGGACAACTCATAGTGGGTAAGTCGTTGGCACATCTCACTCACATCAGTCTCACGAATAATCCTGTTCTATATATATCATAGTTCATAGTTCATCATAGTTCAATTATTTGGTACAGCCCTGTGAGCCATTCGGCTCTTGAATATCAATATGCAAAACATGACAGAGCCTGAACCCACATTCTCTATACTATTCCCTCTCGCTATTACAGGAGGCCTTGGCTATGGAGGCCTGGGCTATGGAGGTCTGGGCGTTGTTGGTCTGGGCGTTGCTGGTCTAGGCTATGGTGGTCTAGGCTATCCCGGAGCGGCTCTTGGAGGAGTCTACACGCACCATGCAGGTAAGAGATACTCCCCCTTATGACACACACTCAAACTCTCATACCAAAAAAGTCGTGGTCAAATTAGCATTAGAAGTTCCACACTGCTATGGCAAGGGGCGAGTTGATCCACACGACAAACCACTATTGATCTTCTCTACGAAGTTTATTTGTTTTAGCCATCAACCAAGATTTTAATTCTCAACTTGCTGATTGCGAGCTGCTCAGCTCTACGGCGGAGCCACCCGGTCAGTTAGGCTCAGCTGCTCCCTTAACGAACTTCAGCACTTCAGACAGCCACGCCCACTCGACCCGTCTGGACTGTGCCAGTCAAAGCAGAGCGGTTTGGTAGGCCCACTAAGATATGCAGCTAATTTTCAGAAGCGACCTGGTTACAAATGATAGTCCAACGAAGTGTCTTACCACGTGGACAATTAAATCAGGCAAACAATCTGAACGCACGGTTCTAAATGTGGTGGTGAAATAAAAACCCCATCAAAATCCACGCGACCAACCACGGGGGAGAACACACAAACTCCAAATACACAACAGGCATCGTCTGGGTCGGGATCGAACCCTCGACTTCCATTATAGCAGACGAGGTAGTTAACATCTCAGCCACCGTTCCACACCAATCCCTCGTCAACCCCACGTCGAATCTCCTCCCCCCGCGCATTAAACAAGGAACTGTCTTTCCCTGGCAGCTGGGCTCGTTCACCCTTACGGTGGACTCGGATACCATGCGGCCCCCTATCACCATGGTGGGTATGCTGCATGTGCATGAGCTTGCATGTGCCCCCCCCACGCCTACCTAAATGTTTGAATTAAATCTTAAAATCCCCCTCCCCTACTAACACCGTCACCACGACACCCAAAGATGAACGTGAGTCACGAGCACAATTGGTTTGCCATAATTGCAGTCAACATTTAATCGATTACGGTAGAAGGGGCGTGGAAGAATGTACGTATAGCAATAAGGGTGAATCATATTCTTAAGAATACGGTTTCCCCTTTTTTCTGGCAACAAAACAGGTGTTTAGATATAAAAAAACACCAAACTGAAGCCTTTTGCAAGGATTGATGTCTGCATTAACCACATTTACGTGTGGTGAAAATACCAACAAAAAACATGCTCTGACAGTATATGCATTGTCTTTGAAACTGATTGGTCCACACCAGAGACAGCTTTCTTTAGAGCCGAGTCTCAAACAGTGTCAGACCAGAGGACGCCAAATCCTATTCCTATTCTCATCACGGATGATGGTGCAGCATTACAACTGCCACTGGTGGCAGAATGTGCCTCAACGAGAGGCGAGCTCTACAGGATATTTTATTTATCCGGTCTAATTTTCCATGCCGGCACGGAGGAGTTGACGGAGGTGGGAGTCACTCCCCACAGTTCCCCTCCAAAGCACGCAATCTGCCGATTGGTAAAAAACTGTGCCGAGCCCATTAAATATTTCCGGGTGAAGAGATGCGGAACCGCATTTCCCCAATGTCACATCTCAGAAGTTAAGAAGATGTTGAGCCTGGATTTGGCTTTGATTTGGGTGACAAGCCGCCAAGCATGGACCGGATGTCAAGGAATGTTAAATTTGGTTCTGTAAAGTTATTGCCACGTGAATTCAGTGGCGACTGCTTTATTTTGCGCGGAGCATTTTAGCTTCGAAACGCAAAGGCTCAAACTTTCGGGAATGTCGGGTTGATGGTGGATGGATGGGGGGGGGGGGGGGATTTAAACAAAATAATCTAATCTTTAACTATCATCATCGATATAATTAATTTCCACAATCACTGCTGTTGTTTTATAATGGGACCTAACCGATATTTTGTCCGCAGTTACAGCAACAGCAGTGGGGTATGCGCATGAATGATGATACCTGGCGTCGATGATGATTTGTGTTGATCGCAATAAGTGATAATGATCTTGTCATTATTACTATTACCCTGACCAGTAACAACACAGCTCGGCTCAATCAGCAGAAATCGTCTTTGCAGTGTTAGCTGTGAGCACCACTAATGTTGTTGCGAATTTATACTCACAAGTCGAGCAGAAAGGCAGCTGCAAAACCTGCAGTGATTGATGGTGAGAGGAGACAGCTAGCAGTGTGGATGGAGAGAATAGAGCATTGATTATTTAAAGAGTCTAATCTTTAACGATCATCATCGATATCTATAATTTCCACAATTACTGCTGTGTTTTTTTTTAATGGGACCTAACCGTTATTTTGTCTGAGGTTAAAGCAACAGCAGCCAAAGACAAGACGGTAGTCGGACCATTTTGTATTTTACTGAATAAAAATTACGACGTTTCGATCACAACACAAGCGATGACGATCGCTTGTGTTGCGATGACGATCGCTTGTGTTGTTGATCAAACCAAGAATATGAATTCCTGCAGTCACGAAAGTTAAAAGAATAACACACGCACGTATTGATGAACTTCCTTCACATCGTACTTAGCCAACTGTGCTCATCGGAGGTGTGGAGGAGCGACAACTTAACACGAGAAGCAGTTCGCTAGAAATCAGTTTTCGATCTAGATGATGTTAAAAGTACCGCAGCTCCAGTGACTTCCTAATATCGCAAGAGCGTTCCAGACGGCCACAGAAGCGCATCTGAAAGGGCCTCGCGATGATGCGGTGACGTTCTTTGTTCGATGGCCAGCCAAAAGCCGCTGCGAGTGTATCTATCTTCTTTGTTTCTTTCGGTAAAGTCACCACCACGTAGAATGAGAATAAAATAATAAATTGATAAAATAAAATAACACAATTATATTCTCACGACGTTTCGGCCACAACACAAGTGGCCTTCATCAGGTGAAGGGACGAGACTGTCTGGTAGGACAGCGCTGTCCGTGAGAATATTATTGAGTTATTTTATTTTATCAATTTATTATTTTATTCTCATTCTACGTGACTTTACCGAAAGAACCAAAGAAGATGAATCATTGCAGTCACGAAAGCTTTGAATCGAAGTGTATCTATGTTGGAACATCTATCACACCGTACGTTAAAAAACCGTGCTCAAATGGACGTGCGTAGGGAGTGTAGCTGGGCGAGGTTTTAATTTTTAACCACCATTTAACCCCCCACCCACCCTCTCCACCCTGCTGTTTGTTGTTTGCAGCCCTCGGAGGACTCGGCTACCCCCTGGGCATTGGCGCCGGTGTCGTGGCTCCCCACGTGGTGAAGGGCAAAATCGGTGAGGCTTTCTCTTTTCCCTCCGGCAAATTCCCGGCACAAAAAAAAATGTTCCCTCGTTTGCGCGGCTACGGAGCGTTGGTTAGTGCGTGCATTAAGGACTGTGCTGGTTGTCTCTGTTGGAGCCGTAATTTCCTCTCAACAACATCTGCCGCGGCCAATATTACGTTGCAACTCGCGCCTGAGTCTCCGTTAACCTTTGCCTGCGGCGTGCGCCCTGTCTGCAGCTGCCCCGTTGGCGCCTGTTGTTGCTGCCATCTAAATCGTCACCGGTGAGCGAAGCGCGCAGAGACACCAAAGACACACGCAGAGGAGACCCGTGCACTAACACAGAGGCCCATTGCCCTACCCGAAAAACCCCATAATATCCAGAGACCCATAGCTGTTCCCAGACATCCGTACACTTACAGAAACCCACAAACTCATGCAGAGATAGGAATAGGTTTTCACCCTTTTAGCTGGCACAAAAACTGACACCTTTATTCAAGGCATCATGTTTGCAATAACCACAACACAAGCAGTCAAAATGCAAACAAAAAAGACAACTCTGATAATAATATTGGCACTGTCCTTGAATTTGATTGGTCCACACCCGAGACAGCTTTTCTTAGAGCCCCTTTAGTCTCTCCACTGGTGTTGGACCAGAAGACTCCAAAAGGCGTACAACTCAAAAACAGCGCACCATCAGAGTATTGAGGGCTCGGGGTGAGCATTTACATTATGAGACCTCCTTTGCCAGAAACAAGATATAGGAATAGGTTTTACCCTTTTAACTGGCACAAAAAACTGACACCTTTATTCAAGGCATCATGTTTGCAATAACCACCAGTAAAAAGGGTAAAACTTATTCCCATATCTTGTTTCTGGCAAAGGAGGTCTCATAATGTTCATGCAGAGATCTTCAAACTACGACAAAAATAATTGTCAAAAACTTCCCGAGCCGAGAAAAAAACCTCATCAAACAGAGTATTGAAGCTCCTGGGTGGATTTGTGGCACAGAGGTTGAAAGTTGTGGAGATGCACATTTTTAGACACAGTGGATTAGAGAACACATGAAGGTTATTGTCTCCCCCCCCAACGGCAACAATAGAGGGCCAACGCTCACAACAATGAGCGGAACAGCCAGCTGGATAATAAAACGTGGTAAATTAACACAGTGATGAGGACATCTGCAAGTCATCTCAGTCAGCCAGTGCATAGCAGCTCGGTTTGTATCCATGACCTGCCAGCATCAAGTGCCTCCCACACATCACCTGACGCCCTCAACGTGATCCTAACCTGGCAAAATCACCATTGTGACGTCACTATCACTTAATGGATTCTTAAGAGGCACAGGTTTTGGTCCGATCTTCGCGTGGGCCTAACCCACAAATCGATCATTTATAACGCCGGCCGCGAAGGCCGACCAACGTTTTTTTGAGTGCAACTTTTTAATTGATCTGTGATGTGTGTGTGCGTGTCCGTGCCCAGCCCTGCGTCCCCGTCTGCAGATGACTCAAGACTCCGGTGAAGAAGTGACTTGACGAACGTTATGGACAGCCGCCGCCAACCACCACCCGCAAAAAAAAAGGGGGCATAGGTTCACCACCTACTCCCCTTCCCATACCTGCCCATTCATACCGACTGACCCCAACCCATCCTACCCAAGTCCATTGACTCTCACACAAACTCTTATCATCGGCGGTCATGGTTTATTTTCGCCGTTCGTTCAGTTCCTGAACCCCCTAATCCCATGCCAATTTCCTGCAACAAAAACGCCATTCGGACCCTTGAGTGAGCGAGTGAGTTGTGTGAATTTCGTGACGCAATTGGGTGGGCGGGTGTGCCGGTGTCTGTCCGTAACGTTTTTTTTTCCTATCATCTGTGCAATGTCCTTCTTGTGTTCCGGATTCAAATAAAAAATTTAACCGTACTCACTGCACTTGTGCTTGCTATTTGTGACGTAAACAAACGACCTCGCGCGCGAGCGCGTGTGTGTGTGTGTGCAAACGCGTGCGCCGCAGTGCATTGTCACACGTCCGACTGTCACGTGACCCAATAGTTAACCAAAGCGTCCAAAAGCAGGGAATTCGTACACGGTCACAAAGCGTACATTTCTCACCAGTTTACCTTCCATTATATTTACGTATAACAGAGATTAACCTAAATTTTGATTTTATGCTTTCGTGACGGCGGTAATTCATATTCTTAGCTATTTCGGTAAAGTCACGTTGAAGGGAAACAATAAAATAATAAAATGAAATATATAAAACAATAAAAATTCTCACGACGTTTCGACCATAACACAAACGGTCATCATCAGGTGTGAAAACCAACGGCAAGAAACTTTTTTTTTTGCAGTTGGTTTTCACACCTGATGATGACCGTTTGTGTTATGGTCGAAACGTCGTGAGAATTTTTTTTATTGTTTTATATATATTTTATTATTTTATTGTTTCCCTTCAACGTGACTTTACCGAAAGAGCTAAGAATATGAACAAGAGATTAACCTGCCGGACACCTGGTCGCCGAGAGTATGAAGCGCAGTTAAGCTGTCACGGGCTCGCTTTTGCACGTACAGCCTGCACAGATTCAGCGTAGCCATACACAGCACGTTAACTTCACAATAATCCTATGAAGTGGAAGAAAAAAAGCAGAGGACCCGGAGAAAAATCTACGTAACCATGGGGAGAAAATGCTCATTTCAATTAAAGCAGGAGTCAGGGTCAGGATCGAACCCACGGCCTCCTGTACATCAGGCAAGAGAGTTAACATCTCACTACCGCAGGGAGATCCTGGGAGACCGGCTCTGAGGTTTGAGGCTGGCAGTCTGTAACTTGAGGCTGGCAGTCGGTAAACATGCTTACTCGCCCCTAACTGGGCATCTGTGAAAAAGAGAGCTTCATAGCTGATCGCATTACTCCAATATTAAAATAAAAAAAAAACATTATGATTCTATTGGCATTCGAAATATATTGCTACAGAAGGATACTGCAGATAAAACCGGAGTCAAAGAGTGACCAACGTATATGGAGAAGAAGATGACCTGATGATGCAGGCAGAGACGAGAAGGAAATTGGCACTATTTAGACACATTTGTAGGATGGACAATATAACAATTTGGAATAGATTTCGATTTAAAGCTTTCGTGACTTCAGGGATTCATCTTCTTGGTTCTTTCGGTAAAGTCACCGCTACGTGGAAGGGAAATAATAAAATAATAAAAATAAAACATTATAAAATAAAAATAATTATATCTATTCATAATAAAATAAAAATATATTTTATTATGTTTTCTGTTTCTTATTTTATTATTTCCCTTTTACGTGACTTTACCGAAAGAACCGAGAAGATGAATTTGGAATAGTTTCAGGGTTTATGCGCAGTTTGATTTCTTGGGGAGTGACGTAACACACTGTTATCGGTGCTACCTTCATGCAGACTTATAGACAGACTCCCATCAGTGTTGTCTGACTCATTCTTGGTTCTTTCGGTAAAGTCACGTTGAAGGGAAACAACAAAATAATAAAAGTATAAAACAATATTTTTTATAATCTTAGTTCTTTCGGTAAAGTCACGTTGAAGGGAAACAACAAAATAATAAAATATATATAAAACAATAAAAAAATTCTCACGACGTTTCGACCATAACACAAACCAACACACCTGAAGACGACCGTTTGTGTTATGGTCGAAACGTCGTGAGAATTTTTATTGTTTTATATATATTTTATTATTTTGTTGTTTCCCTTCAACGTGACTTTACCGAAAGAACTAAGAATATGAATTACTGCAGTCACGAAAGCTTTAAATCAAAAATATTTTTAAATCATTTTATTGTTTCCCTTATACGTGACTTTACCGAAAGAACCAACAATATGAATTACCTGCAGTCACGAAAGCTTTACATCTAAATTGTCTGACTTGTGTGCTCTGTATGGAACTTAATGAAGACAGGGAAACCCCGTTGGCGCATGCAATGCAAGCGAATGACTCAATCCCCAATAAGCACCCTCCGTCGCTCTCGTTTACAGGGACCCACGGTCCTGCGTGTCGAGGTTCTTAGTCGTCAGCCCGCTAGCAATACTCAGAGCATTAGTGCCTCCTTTGCTGTAGTGTCTCAAGTCTAGCAGTAGGTAGAGCAATGGTGGCTCCCTCCGTGTGGCGTGCCAACCTTCCAGTAGTAAGTAGAGCACTTCTGTCTCACTTGGTGTGGTGTATCCAACACTCCAGCGGTAGGTAGAGCAGGTGGCTACCTTTTAGGATGGTGGATGCAAAACTAAAAAATTCTTGATGTTGCCCTACGCATGACACGTTGATGACGAGGCCCTCACGGCTACCCATGTCGTTGTTGTTCTTGGAATTGGCGAGTCCCCGCACTCCGAAGAGTCGACACCGCTCACCCAGCTCTTGAAGTGGTCTCTCCGCACTCCAACAGTTGATAAATCTCTCCTCCTGGACCTAGGTGTGGCATGACCCCCCCCCACTCCGCCCACCCCCACCACCACCACTTCAGAAGTAGAGACTGCAAAAAACACCTCTCAGTACAGAACACACTCAGCCCCAGGCACAGCACTCACAACTTCTGGGGCAGCACTGCTTCAGACTATCGCAGCCCTGGGTGTGCTTTCTCCACTCCGGCAAGTGGACCCCAGGACCTCTTGCTCCACTTGGCGTGACTGCTCCGCACTCCGGTAGTGGATCAGGCCTTCAATCTGGTGCTGTGCTTGCCGTCCTTTATCCTTCTACTCGCGTCGTGTACCCCCTCTCCCCTCCTCCCCCCACCAACCTCTCCTTTGTCGCCCCTTTAAAAGCCGGTAAATTTAGCATAAGAGGGATTCCACACAGCCATGCAACCTAATAACGGTCCCAACAGCTATAACTGACACCAGAGACAAGCCACGTGGTGTGACCCTCGACTTGTCCCTCGTCACGGAGAACAACAGAAACGTAAAAAAAAAATATGTGCTCGTGAAAAATTTTGGCGAATTGCTTGATGATGCTGGATGTATTTACCAGCGAAACGTCGTACTATTAAAACTGTAAATGTTGTGGATTCACTCTTCAACACACCGGTGGGCTAAAGCAGTGAACTATTTGTCTTTTGTCAACGTGACACTTTTTTTTTGCTGATTGGCCGTGTCGGGTGGTGGAGGGTTACGACACATTTATAAATAACCAAAAAACCTTTATTATGAAAAATCGAAGGAGCCGAAAAGCAAAGGAGGACACCCACACTAGGCTTATGCGCCCATTGATCGTGATTCATCTTTCGTATGTCATGGGAGCGGGGATAGCAGCAACCGTTTGCATAGATGATGTGCATAGTTGAATGCTAAGGTCATTCAACAAATCCAAGGCAGCAGTGACCACTGTAGCAAAAATGTTCTCATTGTGGGGGGAGATGAATCAAATGCCTCCTGCTGCAGCAGTGGGGGGGTGTGCACGGGGGCCTGCAGCTGTTTGCGATTCGCATCGATCTTTCAGATGCGCTTCTGCGGTCACATGCACGGCTCTTCCATCCGAGTTTAGGCAGCCGCTGGAGCTATGCATTTCGATTTAAAGCTTTCGTGACTGCAATGATTCATCTTCTTTGGTTCTTCCGGTAAAGTCACCACGTAGAATGTACCGAAAGAACCAAAGAAGATGGAGCTATGCACTTTAACATGATCTGGATTGAACAGTTTTTTTATTTTTATTTATAAGTGCTTTTAGTTCTAGATTTAGAGTTTTCGTGACTGCACTGATCCATACTCTTTGGTTCTTTGGGTAAAGCCACGTAGGTGAAAAATAAATAAATAATAAAAAATCACGACGTTTTGGAGGCTACACAAGCTTCCTTCATCAGGCGTGACAAAAGGCACAGTAAAATAACTGTAGGGTTTTGATTTAAAGCTTTCGTGACTGCAGTAATTCATATTCTTTACCGAAAAAACTAAGCATATAACTGAAAGGTTATTTTGTTATTTTGCTGTGCCTTGTTTTCTTTTACACCTGATGAAGGAAGCTTGTGTTGCCTCCAGAAAGTCGTGATTAGGTTTTTATATATTTATTTATTCATTTATTATTATCATTCTTTTTTTTACCTACGTGATTGTACCTAAAGAAGCAAAGAGTAGAAGTGCTATTAGTGTTTAGCTTGTTGTCCGTACCCAGCAACTCCGATTATCACGGATGGCTACGTACGATGAGGATTAAGTTCAACATGCATACACACGTATAATATGAGCCCAGGCCAGGTGTCACTCGTCGGAACTCTATAAGGTGGCATTACCTGAAGGGTTTAATGGTTCAACCATTTGAAATTAATTGTGGTTCACAATTGATTCGCGTGTTTTGGCCGTGTAAATGAATCTGTCTTACTAAAGATTTGCCACCTTCTCTGGTATGCCAACACTTGTGCGTGGAATAACAGCTTGGAGACTGTGATTCACGGGTGTCAGCTTAAGCTTCGCCGTTGTGATGAAATGAAGGACCGTGCACACTCTCTCTCTCTCTCTCTGTGAGTTTCTGGGGGGGGGAGGGAGTTCTCTGACACTGAAATAATTCTTACTCGTTCATTGCACCAACTATTGACGCCTGCATCATTGGACCTCCTTTGCCAGTACTAAAATATAATTTTAGGGTTTTTCCCCTTTTTTATGCCAACAAAACTGAAACCTTTATTTTTACGAGGATTCATATTACTGCATTAACCACAATACTTGCAGTCAAAATGCAAACAAAAAAAATGCAGACATGAATCCTTCTTCATAATAAAGGTGTTTGGGTTAGATCGCGTTATTTAAAAATGTGTCGTAACCCTACGTGTTAAAATGAATCCTTCTAAAAAATGGTTTCAGTTGTGTTGGCAGAAAAAAGTAGAAAAACCCCTATTATTATTATTGATGCCTGATTTGAGTCTGCAGCTGAAGATCTGAAGCAGGAACATTCGTGCTGAATATGCAACAGCCACATTCCCAAATGTGATTCGTAACTTTGATCATTACCTGTGTAGTATATCGACAGTTCAATGCTAATGTGCCATTTCATTGAGGGACTTATCCTGCTGTGTTGTCCTGGTGTGGTCTGGGATTGGTTTGTTGTTGTTTTTCCTGCCTTGCCCAATCTTGATAAATCGGACTTATATTATGAATTAACAAAAAAATTCATTTGTATTTAGCGAATTGCTTACAATTTTCTCTGTTTTGCACTCCGATTGTTTTTGTATTGTTTGTTGTCACTTGCCGACTCGCCCATCCTTGGCATCTGCGAAAAACAGCTTCATATCTCATTGAATTCCTCCAGTCTGAATAAAAATTATAATAAAGATCTGGCCGCAATGTTTCTGCTGAACTTCTTTCGTACCGTACGTCGCCAACCATCCTAATTTAAGGACAGCAAAACTAAACACAATGCAGTTCTAAAGAAATTAGTTTTCCATCGAGAAGATTGAAAAAGTGCATAGTAGCTCCAGTGAATTCCTAATATCGTGAAAAGACGCGCGTTCCAGACGGCCGCGGAAGCGCTTCTGAAAGCACGCAATGCAATAACCTTCTTTGTTCAACGGCTGCCCTAAAGCCACTGCGAGGATGACCAGAATTTGCATGACGGTTTATGCTCCTTGACAAGCTCAGCAAGGTATTGTGGTTCATTTGTGGCAGGTACTTTGAGCTAATGAATGTGACCTTATAATATAGTCACGTGGCAACGATACGTGCCAATGAGTTTTGAACATGCTGCAGCTTGGATATTTTTTTTTTTGCCAGGGATCGAGCCATCCGGTTGCATTGCATGTACAAACGGGGCTTCCCTTTAGTCATTAAGTTCCATACAGAGCACACAAGTCAGACAATACTTGTGGGATTCTGTCTATAAGTGTGGCAAAAGGACAATCCCCGTGTGGTGTGTTACGACACTCCCCAAGAAATCACACTCAGCATAAACCCTGAAACTATTCCAAATTCATCTTCTTGGTTCTTTCGGTTAATTCACGTAGAAATGAAATAATAAAAAAATATAAAATGAACAAAATGAAATAAAATATTTGTTTTATTTTATATTTTATTATTTCCCTTCTACGTGGTGACTTTACCGAAAGAACCAAGAAGATGAATCCCTGCAGTCACGAAAGCTTTGAATCGAAATCTATTCCAAATTGTTATATTGTCCATCCTACAAATGTGTCCAAATAGTGCCAATTTCCCTCTCGTCTCTGCCTGCATCATCAGGTCATCTTCTTCTCCTTATACGTTGGTCACTCGTTGGCTCCGGTTTTATCTGCAGTATCCTTCTGTAGCAATATATTTCGAATGCCAATAGAATCATAATGTTTTTTTTTTATTTTAATATTGGAGTAATGCGATCAGCTATGAAGCTCTTTTTCACAGATGCCCAGTTAGGGGCGGGTAAGCATGTTTACCGACTGCCAGCCTCAAGTTACAGACTGCCAGCCTCAAACCTCAGAGCCGGTCTCCCAGGATCTCCCTGCGGTAGCGAGATGTTAACTCTCTTGCCTGATGTACAGGAGGCCGTGGGTTCGATCCTGACCCTGACTTCTGCCATAATTGAAATGAGCATTTTCTCCCCATGGTTACGTAGATTTTTGTCCGGGTTCTCTATTTTTTTTTTCTTCCACTTCATAGGATTATTGTGAAGTTAACGTGCTGTGTATGGCTACGCTGAATCTGTGCAGGCTGTACGTGCAAAAGCGAGCCGTGACAGCTTAACTGCGCTTCATACTCTCGGCGACCAAATGGCATTTGGTAATCAAAAGATTGCCCAGGGTCCTTTCAACCCTGTTGGGAGTGACCATCAGCTGAATACTGAAGGCTCCTCTGCCATCAGTATTCAGCAGGTCATCTAGGATCCCACCACGCTGTTGAAAGTGCCATCGGACTACTTCAGGCTCCTCTGCCTTCAGTAATCAACAGCTTGCCCAGGATTCCACTGCCATGTTACAAACGCTATTGGCCAATTTGAGTTTCGTTTGTTTTCAGTGATCAACCTTCTACGCCCTTCACCCGCTCTCCTAACCTCCCCCCTCTTACCTCATTCTAGTCCCCCTCTATGTACTCCCGGCTCCATGAACCAAGGCTTGCCATCGAAGCCCACAAGTTAACCGTCACTCGGTGGGAAGTCGCCCATTTTGCGCTAATGCTCCTGCTGCCCGCAATCTCTGGAACTCCTTTAAAGTATTGATTTAAAGCTTTCGTGACTGCAGGGATTCATATTCTTGGTTCTTTCGGTAAAGTCACCACGTTGAAGGGAAACAATAACATAATAAAATATATATAAAACAATAAAAAATTCTCACGACGTTTCGACCATAACACAAACGGTCATCATCAGGTCATCATCTGGTGTGAAAACCAACGGCAAAAAAAAAGTTTCTTGCCGTTGGTTTTCACACCTGATGATGACCGTTTGTGCTATGGTCGAAACGTCGTGAGAATTTTTAGTGTTTCATATATATTTTATTATTTTATTGTTTCCCTTCAACGTGACTTTACCGAAATAGCTAAGAATATGAATTACTGCAGTCACGAAAGCTTTAAGTCAAAATTTAGGTTAATCTCTGTTATACGTAAATAGAATGGAAGGTAAACTGGTGAGAAATGTACGCTTTATGACCGTGTACGATTTCCCTGCTTTTGGACGCTTTGGTTAACTATTGGGTCACGTGACAGTTGGACGTGTGACAATGTACTGCGGAGCACGCGTTTGCACACACACACACACGCACACACACGCACACACGCACACACACACACGCGATGTCGTTTGTTTACGTCACAAATAGCAAGCATAAGTGCAGTGAGTACAGTTAATTGTTTTATTTGAATCCGGAACACAAGAAGGACATTGCACAGATGATGAGAATTTGTGTAAGAGTCAAGGGCTTGGGTAGGATGGGTTGGGGTCAGTCGGTATGAATGGGCAGGTATGGGAAGGGGAGTAGGTGGTGAACCTATGCCCCCTTTTTTTTGCGGGTGGTGGTTGGAGGCGGCTGTCCATAACGTTCGTCAAGTCACTTCTTCACCGGAGTCTTGAGTCATCTGCAGACGGGGACGCAGGGCTGGGCACGGACGCACACACACATCACAGATCAATTAAAAAGTTGCACTCAAAAAAACGTTGGTCGGCCTTCACGGCCAGCGTTGTAAATGATCGATTTGTGGGTTAGGCCCACACGAAGATCGAACCAAAACCTGCGTCTCTTAAGAATCCATTAAGTGATAGTGACGTCACAATGGTGCTTTTGCCAGGTTAGGATCACGTTGAGGGCGTCAGGTGATGTGTGGGAGGCACTTGATGCTGGCAGGTCATGGATACGAACCGAGCTGCTATGCACTTGGCTGACTGAGATGACTTGCAGGTGTCCTCATCACTGTGTTAACTTGCCACATTTTAGCATCCAACTGGTTGTTCCGCTCATTGTTGTGAGCTTTGGCCATCTATTGTTGCCGTTGGGGGGGAGACAATAACTTTCATGTGTTCTCTAATCCACGTGTCACTCCACTGTGTCTAAAAATGTGCGTCTCCACCTTTTAACCGCTGTGCCACCAATCCATCCAGGAGCTTCAATAATCCGCTTGATGAGGTTTTACTTGGAACGGGAGGTTTTCTCAAGTTATTTTTTTGTCATAGTTTGCAGATCTCTGCATGAGTTTGAGGGTTTCTGTAAGTGTACGGATGTCTGGGAACAGTTATGGGTCTCTGGGTATTATGGGGTTTTTCGGGTAGGGCAATGGGCCTCTGTGTTAGTGTACGGGCCTCCTCTGCGTGAGTCTTTGGTGTCTCTGCGAGCTTCGCTCACCGGTGACGATTTAGATGGCAGCAACAACAGGCGCCAACGGGGCAGCTGCAGACAGGGCGCACGTCACAGGCAAAGGTTAATGGAGACTCAGGCGCGTGTTGCAACGTGATATTGACCACGGCAGACGTTGTTGAGAGGATTAGCAATCTTTGAAATAGCGTGATCAACCGGACCATGCGTTGATTGTGTTTTGACCGACCGTCTGTGTTGCTTTATATGGTTTCCAAAATTTTGCTTAAACCCTGTTTGTCTGGTATGCTTCTCTCTCTGTTGTACCCTGTTGTATCTGTGTTAGTTCCCCCCCTACTTGGGTGTCTGTAAATACATCTGAGGTTATGTGTTTCCCCTCTCTCGTAAATTTAGCTCTTTCTTTACCTGATGACGGCTGCTTGTGTTGCAACCGAAACGTCGCACGCTATTATGTCACTTTATTACTTCTTATTTACACGTGACTTTACCGAAAGAAAAAAAAAACAAAGAGTAATTCTTGCAGTCACGAAAGCTTCAAATCAAGTAGGAAATGAGGGCTCCAACAGTCAGCCACCACAGTTATCGAAACACGCACTAAACACACACTCCATAGCCGTACAAAGCGAAGGAACCCTCACCGACTTTGCCCTTCACCACGTGGGGAGCCACGACACCGGCGCCAATACCCAGGGGGTAGCCGAGTCCGCCGAGGGCTGCAAACAACAAACAGCAGGGTGGAGAGGGAGGGTGGGGGGTTAAAAATGGTGGTTAAAAATTAAAACCTCGCCCAGCTACACTCTCTACGCACGTCCATATGAGCACGGTTTTTTTTTAACGTACGGTGTGATAGATGTTCCAACATAGATACACTTCGATTTAAAGCTTTCGTGACTGCAATGATTCATCTTCTTTGGTTCTTTCGGTAAAGTCACGTAGAATGAGAATAAAATAATAAATTGATAAAATAAAATAACCCAATAATATTCTCACGGACAGCGCTGTCCTACCAGACAGTCTCGTCCCTTCACCTGATGAAGGCCGCTTGTGTTGTGGCCGAAACGTCGTGAGAATATTATTGTGTTATTTTATTTTATCAATTTATTATTTTATTCTCATTCTACGTGGTGGTGACTTTACCGAAAGAACCAAAGAAGAGAGATACACTTGCAGCGGCTTTTGGCTGTCCATCGAACAAAGAACGTCACCGCATCACCGCGCGGCCCTTTCAGATGCGCTTCTGCGGCCGTCTGGAACGCTCTTGCGATATTAGGAAGTCACTGGAGCTGCGGTACTTGAACGTCATCCAGATCGAAAACTGATTTCTAGCGAACTGCTTCTCGTGTTAAGTTGTCGCTCCTCCACACCTCCGATGAGCACAGTTGGCTAAGTACGATGTGAAGGAAGTTCATCACGCGTGCGTGTGTTATTTTTTTAACTTTCGTGACTGCAGGAATTCATATTCTTGATTTGATCAACAACACAAGCGATCGTCATCGATTGTGTTGTGATCGAAACGTCGTAATTTTTATTCAGTTAAAATACAAAATAGTCCGACTACCGTCTTGTCTTTGGCTGCTGTTGCTTTAACCTCAGACAAAATAACGGTTAGGTCCCATTAAAAAAATCAACAGCAGTAGTTGTGGAAATTATTAGATATCGATGATGATCGTTAAAGATTAGACTCTTTAAATAATCAATGCTCTATTCTCTCCATCCACACTGCTACCTGTCCCCTCTCACCATCAATCACTGCAGGTTTTGGCAGGTGCCTTTCTGCTCGTCTCGTGAGTATAAACTCGCAACAACATTAGTGGTGCTCACAGCTAACACTGCAAAGACGATCTCTACTGATTGAGCCGAGCTGTGTTGTTACTGTTCAGGGTAATAGTAATAATGACAAGATCATTATCACTTATTGTGATCAACACAAATCATCATCGACGCCAGGTATCATCATACGTGCGCATACCCCACTGCTGTTGCTATAACTGCGGACAAAATATCGGTTAGGTCCCATTATAAAACAACAGCAGTGATTGTGGAAATTAATTACATCGATGATGATAGTTAAAGATTAGACTATTTTGTTAAAATCCCCCCCCCCCCAATCCAACCACCATCAACCCGACATTCCCGAACGTTTGAGACTTTGCGTTTCGATGCTAACATGCTCCGCACAAAATAAAGCAGTCGCCACTGAATTCACGTGGCAATAACTAAACCGAACCAAATTTAACATTCCTTGACATCCGGTCCATGCATGGCGGCTTGTCACCCAAATCAAAGCCAAATCCAGGCTCAACATCTTCTTAACTTCTGAGATGTGACGTTGGGGAAATGCGGTTCCGCATCTCTTCACCCGCAAAATATGAAATGGGCTCGGCACAGTTTTTTTTTGCCGATCGGCAGATTGCGTGCGTTGGAGGGGGAACCGTGTGGAGTGACTCCCACCTCCGTCAACTCCTCCGTGCCGGCATGGAAAATTAGACCGGATAAATAAAATATCCTGTAGAGCTCGCCTCTCGTTGAGGCACATTCTGCCACCAGTGGCAGTTGTAATGCTGCACCATCATCCGTGATGAGAATAGGAATAGGATTTGGCTTCCTCTGGTCTAACACTCTTTGAGACTCGGCTCTAAAGAAAGCTGTCTCTGGTGTGGACCAATCAGTTTCAAAGACAATGCATATACTGTGAAAACATGTTTTTTTGGTTGTATTTTCACCACACGTAAATGTGGTTAATGCAGACATCAATCCTTGCAAAAGGCTTCAGTTTGGTGTTTTTTTTATATCTAAACACCTGTTTTGTTGCCAGAAAAAAATGGGAAACCCTATTCTTAAGAATATGATTTACCCTTATTGCTATACATACATTCTTCCACGCCCCTTCTACCGTAATCGATTAAATGTTTACTGCAATTATGCCAAACCAATTTTGCTCGTGACTCACGTTCATCTTTGGGTGTCGTGGTGACGGTGTTAGTAGGGGAGGGGAATTTTAAGATTTAATTCAAACATTTAGGTAGGCGTGGGGGGGGCACATGCAAGCTCATGCACATGCAGCATACCCACCATGGTGATAGGGGGCCGCATGGTATCCGAGTCCACCGTAAGGGTGAACGAGCCCAGCTGCCAGGGAAAGACAGTTGTTCCTTGTTTAATGCGCGGGGGGAGGAGATTCGACGTGGGGTTGAAGAGGGATTGGTGTGGAACGGTGGCTGAGATGTTAACTACCTCGCCTGCTATACAGGAAGACGAGGGTTCGATCCCGACCCAGACGACGCCTGTTGTATATTTGGAGTTTGTGTGTTCTCCCCCGTGGTGGCCGCGTGGATTTTGATGGGGTTTTTATTTCACCACCACATTTAGAATCGTGCGTTCAGATTGTTTGCCTGATTTAATTGTCCACGTTGTAAGACACTTCGTTGGACTATCATTTGTAACCAGGTCGCTTCTGAAAATTAGCTGCATATCTTAGTGGGCCTACCAAACCGCTCCGCTTTGACTGGCACAGTCCAGACGGGTCGAGTGGGCGTGGCTGTCTGAAGTGCTGAAGTTCGTTTAGGGAGCAGCTGAGCCTAACTGAACGGGTGGCTCCGCCGTAGAGCTGAGCAGCTCGCAATCAGCAAGTTGAGAGTTAAAATCTTGGTTGATGGCTAAAACAAATAAACTTCGTAGAGAAGATCAATAGTGGCTTGTCGTGTGAATCAACTCGCCCCTTGCCATAGGAGTGTGGAATTTCCAATGCTAATTTGACCACGACTTTTTTGGTATAAGTGGTTGAGTGTGTGTCATAAGCGGGGGTATCTCTTACCTGCATGGTGCGTGTAGACTCCTCCAAGAGCCGCTCCGGGATAGCCTAGACCACCATAGCCTAGACCAGCAACGCCCAGACCAGCAACGCCCAGACCTCCATAGCCCAGGCCTCCATAGCCAAGGCCTCCATAGCCCAGGCCTCCTGTAATAGCGAAAGGGAATAGTATAGAGAACGTGGGTTCAGGCTCTGTCATGTGTTGCATATTGATATTCAAGAGCCGAATGGCTCACAGGACTATACCAAATAAATAAACTATGATGAACTATGAACTATGATAAATGTAGTACAGGATTATTCGTGAGACTGATGTGAGTGAGATGTGCCAACGACTTACCCACTATGAGTTGTCCATGCATGGGTTAAGGAAGAGACATAGGGAGGTAGGAAGACATCGTTAAAACAAAAACACGTTCATATGCGCACACAAATGAGTGTTTATGTGCATCTAAGAATGTGTGAGTGATTGTGAGCGTGTGTGAGTGGGTGCATGAAAATGGGTGTGAGTGTTAGGATGTGAGCGAGTATGTATGCGTGAGAAGTGTGCGTGTTGGCCTGTGACCATATTTGAAGCATTTAGATTCTGCCGCCTGCTGGACTATGCTGCCTTCTGGACTATGCTTTCATTTATTTGAAGGGTTCCTCCTTTATATGGGCTGTGTTTGTGTTTTTAACATGCCATTTTTTTCAGAGTTACAGATTTGTGTTTTTTCTTTAACTGGAGGTCACTTATTTGGGCTTTCTGATCATGCCCCGTCGCCCACTTGTCTATTTATACCATGCAATACGATACCTAAAATCGCCTTAGAGCAATTTAATATACGATATGCCTCTGTCACTATGTTGAACATCTTTCGCACCCTACATAGCCAACCGTGTTAATCGGAGGTTCGAGCCATCATAACAGCACTAATTGGGCACTCGATTGATTGACATTTTTACAATGCACTGGCAACAGCACTGTTTAGACCATTTAGCGTTGTGATTCAGTGAGTGAGTGTAGTGGTGCTGAGTTGTGATGAACTTCACTCACCCACAGGGTGGCCCAGATATCCCGTAGACAAAGTGCTCACTGTCTGCTTGCCAATGACAGCTGTGGCAAGGCAGAGACACGCACGCAACACAAATAGACACAGAGACAAAAACAATCCCCTTCAGAGCCTACAAAGCATGTTGGGGCAAGTGATGTTTGATGGCATAGCGGCCAGCCGCCTTTGTCTCCACACTGATTATCTTTATCCACTGACCCATACAATTATTACTTATTGGTTCTTTTGGAAAAGTCACGTAGATAGAAAAAGTAGCTAATAGATCACGACATTTCGATAGCAACTCAAGCCATCATCTTCAGGTGAAACAATACAGCAGGTGGACTGCTGAGGCCGGAGGAAATGTAGCAAGGGAGCTACTGCAACCGGAGGTTATATACGTTTTTGGTTGGTACAACCCAAGGGTAAGAGGGCGCTGTATTAATTCCTGCAGTCACGAAAGCTTCAAATCAAGATTGAACCACCTCTACAAGGAGGATTTCCACACAACTCAGACATAACTTCAGCCGAGAACATAGATGCAAAATATAGCAATCTTTGAAAGGACGTTGATCAACCAGGTAAAGTGTTAACTGTTGTGGTGGCCGACTTTCTGAGTTGCATTACATTTCTAAGTTTGCAAGGTTTGCTATCTTTTTTTTCTCTCTATCACCTTGTTCCCTCTGTAAATTTAATTAGTCAACGTTTACTAGCCTTACGTTTGCTAGCTTTACATTTACTTGCAAATTCCATCACTACATTTCATTCGGCCTCAGCAGTCCTCCTGCTGTTATATTGTTTCACCTGAAGACGATGGCTTGTGTTGCTTTCGAAACACGTGATCTATTAGCTATTGTTCTATCTACATGACTTTACCGAAAGAACCAAAGAGTATTAATTCCTGCAGTCACGAAAGCCTAAAATCAAGGTCATGCACTTATTTTTAATTCTCAGTCAAAGAAAAGCCCAGGACCAGTTCAAATATTCGCCACCGTTATCAGCTGTGAGCGGGAATCGAACTCAGGTAACCGTGTTCATAGCACAGTGCGCTAAACACTACACCACACTGCTCCTACAAAGATTCTCCCTGTAGCCTTAACAAACTGTTGGGGCAAGTCTCGTTCACGAGTAACAATTATTGAGGCAAGTAGCGGCACACAAGCGGGTGGATGGCCAACACCACAGCTACAAAAAGATAAAGACAGCCATAGATGCGTGCACACGGACACACAAACAGATGCACAGACTTAATCTTTTTTTTTATTTTACCAGGTAAGGCCGACTGAGCTATGTATCTCTTTTTGAGAAGCGACCTGGTCACAAATGATAGCTGAACAAAGTGGCTGATGTGGAAATGTATAGCAGCAGCCAAATACTCTAAACACATGTTTCTGAATGTGGAGGGGGAAATTAGCGAAACTGGACAAAAAAATTACTCGCTACCAAACAGACTGTCACAGAGACATCCATTAACACACAAAGTCCGACGCAGACTCGCACTCACAGAGATCGTCAGATAGACAGACAAAGATGCACACGCAGAGATTCCATCCAGCTTACGCGTCGCAGTGGCGAGGTGAAGGAGGGCCAGGACGAGCAGGGCTTGGATAGCGGCGGCCATTTTTCTTTAAGGGTTTTCTACTTTCGCTGTCGACGACGAGGAGAGGAGGGCTTTGAGTTGAGGCTGATGAAGCTTCACTGCGGAGTGACGAGCCTGGAGTTTGAGCCCCGGCTTTTAAAGGCAGCTACCAGGGGCTGGCTTGGCTTTGACCCAGCCAAGACAAGACCTAGCCTCAATAGCTCCAGTGTAGCGCTGGCAAACGCCAAAAGCAAAGCACCGCGTCTATTTACTGTCAAAATACGCTACACATTGAAGCCTCTCTAAATATATATTTTAATTTGAGTTTATGTACATTTCCACTCGACACCGCTAAATGTCGCATTTGCCTCGATATTAAACTAAACTATTGTTTTTTACCAGGTAAGGTCCACTGCTAACATGGATCTTTTTCAGAAGCACCCTGGCCATCACAAATGATAGCACAACGAAGTGGCTGATGTCATTGTGTGGAAATGCCAAGCAGCCAATTACTCTAAATGTCGTGATGTTGATGCTAAATGTGGAGGACAAAAAACAGAAGACCCGGAGAAAAAAATCCATACGACCACGGTGGAGAATATGCAAACTCCAATTGTACAGGGGTAAGGGTCGGGATCGAACCCATAACCGCCTGTGTACCAGGCGAGGTTGTTAACATCTCGTCAACAGTGGCGCAGTTAAAATCCACGACCTAGGAATTCCGATGCCTTGGTAGGCTGCTTAATGCCATAATTCCATCCGACCATTGTGAATTATAGACATTATAAAACAGCAATACCCCAGTGTACATGGGGGATGCTTTCCTGAGATTTGCGACGATTATGGAAACAACGTCCATCGACGCGGTTCACCGGGTTACGGTGTTGGAGGCAAAGGCTGAGAGGCGACGGATAATGAGAAAGGATGAGCGGTGCTGTCGACGACGCAAGCATGGGGTTGAGGTGACGCAAAGCGGGGAGCGGTATTCATAAAGTGATGAAGTCTTTGCGAAATGATGCAAACGGGCGAGATGTGCATCGAGGTGTTATTGTTTTAGGAACTCATCCACATGGAATGAGACCAGCAGGGGACGTGGACACGAACCGAGAGATCCATAGAGGCCCACAGAAATCCATAGAGACCCATGAAGACCAAGTGAGATCTATGCTCAACCTGGCCACAAATAATAGCTCAACGAAGTGCCTTATCACGTGAAAATGTATAGCAGTCAAATGCTCTGAACGCATGTCAATTATAAATGTGGAGGGAATAACCAGAGGATAGGAAAAAAAATCCGCGCAAACACTGGGAGAGACGTGTAGAAGCAAAGGATTGGCTAATGAAGCGGCTTATGTGGTAATTAATAGCAGCAGCCAAATACTCTAAACCCGTTACGTTGATTCTAAATGCAGAGGAAAAAAATTGGAGGACCCAAGGAAATAGCTACACGACCACGAGGAGAACACGCAACTCCAAATTCGGTATCGAAGCTACGACCTTCTGTATACCAGGCGAGGTGGTTAATCTATATATATAAAAGGGAAACTCGTGAATATGTGTGTCTGTTCAAAATGTTTAGCGTACTTCCCGACATGTAACAAACTTTAAATTTGGCATGTGGGTAGTTTCCAGACTGTACACAATGCAAAAAGTATAAACATTGATTTTTATATATTTTTTTTTTGGGGGGGAGGGGTGCGAAATAATGAGCGGCCAGTGAAAGGTGACGTCAGATCTGTGATGTCACCCGCATGCGGAAGCGTTACGCAGTGTGCCTGCTGATGTCAGGCATCCCCACCCCCCCACCTTCCGCGTAGGCCGTGTATTAATCCAAGACAAGAATCCAAGTCTCGGGCGAAGCCGGGTAGTAAAGCTAGTTACTAATATAACGAACAAAGAATGTGTCCCACGCGTAACGTCACTCCACACGACACCACCCCCCCCCCCCACACCCCCCCCCCCCCCCCCATAAATAATCATGAGCTGAACAATTTTTCTCTTTAATATTTCAGATTTACTGCAATACGCCCGTCTTTGGACGGGCAAACAAGCTTGTATCTCATAGCCACCGTGGCGTTCTGGAACATTGGCCAAGAGACATAAGCCCACACGCCACAAACACTACCACTGTTCAATCCCCGAGTCGCTCCCACTAACCCAGCACTGAATACGCATTAACAAATGTATACTGTATATTTATCTTTGATTTACATTTCTAAAGCCACAATAGTATCATACATACAGTGAGGGAAAAAAGTATTTGATCCCATGCTGATTTTGTACGTTTGCCCACTGACGAAGAAATGATCAGTCTATAATTTTAATGGTAGGTTTATTTGAACAGGGAGAGAGAGAATAACAACACAAAAATCCAGAAAACGCATGTCAAAAAATGTTACAAATTGATTTGCATTTTAATGAGGGAAATAAGTATTTGACCCCTCTGCAAAACATGACTTAGTACTTGGTGGCAAAACCCTTGTTGGCAATCACAGAGGTCAGACGTTTCTTGTAGTTGGTCACCAGGTTTGCACACATCTCAGGTGGGATTTTGTCCCACTCCTCTTTGCAGATCTTCTCCAAGTCATTAAGGTATTGAGGCTGACGTTTGCAAACTCGAACCTTCAGCTCCCTCCAAAGATTTTCTATGGGATTAAGGTCTGGAGACTGGCTAGGCCACTCCAGGACCTTAATGTGCTTCTTCTTGAGCCACTCCTTTGTTGCCTTGGCCGTGTGTTTTGGGTCATTGTAATGCTGAAATACCCATCCACAACCCATTTTCAATGCCCTGGCTGAGGTAAGGAGGTTCTCACCCAAGATTTGACGGTACATGGCCCCGTCCATCGTCCCTTTGATGCGGTGAAGTTGTCATGTCCCCTTAGCAGAAAAACACCCCCAAAGCATAATGTTTCCACCTCGATGTTTGACGGTGGGGATGGTGTTCTTGGGGTCATAGGCAGCATTCCTCCTCCTCCAAACACGGCGAGTTGAGTTGATGACAAAGAGCTCCATTTTGGTCTCATCTGACCACAACACTTTCACCCAGTTGTCCTCTGAATCGTTCAGATGTTCATTGGCAAACGTCGGACGGGCATGTATATGTGCTTTCTTGAGCAGGGGGACCTTGCGAGCGCTGCAGGATTTCGGTCCTTCATGGCGTAGTGTGTTACCAATTGTTTTCTTGGTGACTATGGTCCCAGCTGCCTTGAGATCATTGACATGATCCTCCCGTGTAGTTCTGGGCTGATTCCTCACCGTTCTCATGATCATTGCAACTCCACGAGGTGAGATCTTGCATGGAGCCCCAGGCCGAGGGAGATTGACAGTTCTTTTGTGTTTCTTCCATTTGCGAAAAATCGCGCCAACTGTTGTCACCTTCTCACCAAGCTGTTTGGAAATGGTATTGTAGCCCATTCCAGCCTTATGTAGGTCTACAATCTTATCCCTGACATCCTTGGAGAGCTCTTTGGTCTTGGCCATGGTGGAGAGTTTGGAATCTGATTGATTGATTGCTTCTGTGGACAGGTGCCTTTTATACACGTAACAAGCTGAGATTAGGAGCACTCCCTTTAAGAGTGCGCTCCTAATCTCAGCTCGTTACCTGTATAAAAGACAACTGGGAGCCAGAAATCTTTCTTATTGAGAGGGGGTCAAATATTTATTTCCCTCATTAAAATGCAAATCAATTTATAACATTTTTGACATGTGTTTTTCTGGATTTTGTTATTTTATCTCTTACTGTTCAAATAAACCTACCATTAAAATCGTAGACTGATAATTTCTTTGTCAGTGGGCAAACGTACAAAATCAGCAGGGGATCAAATACTTTTTTCTTTCACTGTACATGTAACATTTACTTGTAATATCTCATTTAACGCATCTATTGGGGCATATAATACTGTAAAGAGAATAAATGCATAAAATATTTGTTTCTCTCTGAAGCAACAATTAAAATGTTCTCTACCAATCAAAGCATTACTCTCAATGCCAAATCCGAGGCTGCACGTCAGCCATTGTTTTAACCATAAACTCTGAAAAAGTTAATAAACATTCGATTGAACAAACTACCCAAATAATTGCCTCTAATTTTTTTTGTTCACCTTCCATAACGTATTCATAACCTTCCGATTACTGTATACTCCTTAATTCACCTCCCATGGACCAAAAACAGTGAAGTTATTCAAGCTCATGAACATAACTCAATAAACGTATTAATAACCTTCCGATTACTGTATACTCCTTAATTCACCTCCCATGGACCAAAAACAGTGAAGTGATTCAAGCTCGTGAAGGTAATTCAATAAAGGCGGCCATTGGGTGGGATCTCGGGCGCCATTTTGTTTTGATACAACTTTGGGGGCCAAAAAACGCGGCCTGGCCAATTACACGAAAATCAACACCGAAAGTTCACATCTCGTACCCTGTAGAAGTTGCCAAGAAACACCACATCAGCCCAAACGCCACGCAACATCAGGCTGCTCAATCCTCCCGCAGACCGAATCGAGCCAAAGGAGTGCTTTGTGAAAGTATAAAACAGTGTTAAAATTATATTCTTGGGTCTTTTAGATAGGTGACTTTACCCAAAGTACCCAAGAATTTGAATACCTGCAGTCACGAAAGCTTTAAGTCAAGATTTAGTGTTCAAATTATTTTCACCCTGCACAGTCGAGACCCCGCTAGCTGAAATTGCAACAGCTGCACATTAAAATGATGAGAAGCGACTTTAACAACACCCTTAATTATGCATCTATTCATTATCCATTATGCCCTACAAAATGTGTCCATTTGTTTTTTTATGAATATCGGAATGCCTCCCTTACATTATTGCCAGAAAGGGTAAAAGCCGACAATTAATGCCGAAAAGAACATCCAATAAATATCATTGCTCAATTAAATCAACGATCAGCGTTGATTTTTATCGAACAATTCTCATATGGCGATATCAAAATAAATATCAATGATTTAACTTCGGACATTTCGGGGAAGCCATCCTCTGAACACGCGCGTGTTGCCTGGGCGTGGCCTATACACGTGCACGTGTGGCTCAGGAGCCAATCCCCGAGTCGCCGTTTTTTGCGTCACGCGATGGAGCACGCGCCCGAGTCCTGTCAATTACGCGCCGAGAACGCAACGGCAACAAGATGCAGGACAAGACGAACACTCTTCTTTGGACCAATCGGTAAAATCACGTAGAATGAATTTATTATTTCATTCTCATTCTACGTGGCGGTGACTTTACCGAAAGAACCAAAGAAGATGAATCCTTGCAGTCACGAAAGCTTTAAATCGAAGACAAATACTGATGGGCACCGATGGACTGAAACAAAACCCCCAGCTTTGTTCGGCTTAACTTTCAGGCCAAATAATAAAGTTTGCTTTGGGGGGGGGGGGGGGGTTAGATCCCATGAATATAAATGTATCGTTAACCCACCACCAGCCGACACAGTAAGAAAACGGGGTTGTCACGTAAACGAAACATATATTAGGTTTCTATTTCAGCACTGACTGGTGTTGTAAATGTCGTGGATTCAGAGAAAATAGGACTGAAGAGTCTTTGTCGTGTGAATATACTTTACGTGTGCACAATTGGAAATAAATGACAGTACTGTATACATGCGTTGGTGTGTCCATGTGTATGTTTTAATTAGTGAGGTGCACTGTATGAAAACGTTGCAAATGCGACATTTATCCATGTCGAGTGGAAATGTACTGAAATTCAAGTAAAAAAAACCCCAAAAATATTTAGAGAAATATTTTCAATGCCTCCCGTATTTTGACAGTAAATAGACGTGGTGCTTTGATTTTGGCGTTTGCCAGCGCGACACTGGAGCTATTGAGGCTAGGCCTTGTCTTGGCTGGGTCAAAGCCAAGCCAGCCCCTGGTAGCTGCCTTTAAAAGCCGGGGATCAAACTCCAGGCTCGTCACTCCGCAGTGAAGCTTCATCAGCCTCAACTCAAAGCCCTCCTCTCCTCGTCGTCGACAGCGAAAGTAGAAAACCCTTAAAGAAAAATGGCCGCCGCTATCCAAGCTCTGCTCGTCCTGGCCCTCCTTCACCTCGCCACTGCGACGCGTAAGCTGGATGGAATCTCTGCGTGTGCATCTTTGTCTGTCTATCTGACGATCTCTGTGAGTGCGAGTCTGCGTCGGACTTTGTGTGTCAATGTATGCCTCTGTGCGAGTCTCTGTGGTGGCGGCGATGATTTTTATTCAGTTTCTCTAATTTCCCCCTCCGCATTCAGAAACATGTGTTTAGAGTCTTTGGCTGCTGCTATACATTTCCACATCAGCCACTTTGTTCAGCTTATCATTCGTGACCAGGTCGGTTCTGCGGTTCTAAAAAAGAGTTACATAGCTCAGTCGGCCTTACCTGGTAAAAAAAAAGATTAAGTCTGTGCATCTGTTTGTGTGTCCGTGTGCACGCATCTATGGCTGTCTTTATCTTTTTGTATCTGTGGTGCTGGCCATCCACCCGCTTGTGTGTCACTACTTGCCTCAATAATTGTTACTCGAGAACGACACTTGCCTCAACAGTTTGTTAAGACTACAGGGAGAATCTTTGTAGGAGCAGTGTTTTGTAGTGTTTAGCGCACTGTGCTATGAACACGGTTACCTGAGTCCGATTCCCGCCCACATCTAATAACGGTGGCGAATTTTTGAACTGGTCCTGGGCCTTTTCTTGACTCAGCATTAAAAATAATTGTATGGGTCAGTGTATAAACATCAACAGTGGGGAGACAAAGGCGGCTGGCCGCTATGCCATCTAACATCACTTGCCCCAACATGCTATGTAGGCTATGAAGGGGATTGTTTTTGTCTCTGTGTCTATTTGTGTTGCGTGCGTGTCTCTGCCTTGCCACAGCTGTCATTGGCAAGCAGACAGTGAGCACTTTGTCTACGGGATATCTGGGCCACCCTGTGGGTGAGTGAAGTTCATCACAACTCAGCACCACTACACTCACTCACTGAATCACAACGCTAAACGGTCTAAACAGTGCTGTTGCCAGTGCATTGTAAAAATGTCAATCCATCGAGTGCCCAATTAGTGCTGTTATGATGGCTCGAACCTCCGATTAACACGGTTGGTTATGTAGGGTGCGAAAGATGTTCAACATAGTGGCAGAGGCATATCGTATATTATATTGCTCTAAGGCGATTTTAGGTATCGTGTTGCATGGTCTACATAGACAAGTGGGCGACGGGGCATGATCAGAAAGCCCAAATAAGTCACCTCCAATTAAAGAAAAAAGACAAATCTGTAACTCTAAAATAAATGGCGACATGTTTAAAACACAAACACAACCCATATAAAGGAGGAACCCTTCAAAGAAATGAAAGCATAGTCCAGAAGGCAGCATAATCCAGTAGGCGGCAGAATCTTAATGCTTCAAATGTTGCCACAGACCAACACGCACACTTCTCATGCATTCATACTCGCTCACATCCTAACACTCACACACATTTTCATGCACCCACTCACAATCACTCACACATTCTTAGATGCACATAAACACTCATTTGTGTGCGCATATGAACGTGTTTTTGTTTTAACAATGTCTCCCTACCTCCCTATGTCTCTTCGTTAACCCATGCATGGACAACTCATAGTGGGTAAGTCGTTGGCACATCTCACTCACATCAGTCTCACGAATAATCCTGTACTACATTTATCATAGTTCATAGTTCATCATAGTTTATTTATTTGGTATAGCCCTGTGATCCATTCGGCTCTTGAATATCAATATGCAACACATGACAGAGCCTGAACCCACATTTTCTATTCTATTCCCTTTCGCTATTACAGGAGGCCTGGGCTATGGAGGCCTTGGCTATGGAGGCCTGGGCTATGGAGGTCTGGGCGTTGCTGGTCTGGGCGTTGCTGGTCTAGGCTATGGTGGTCTAGGCTATCCCGGAGCGGCTCTTGGAGGAGTCTACACGCACCATGCAGGTAAGAGATTCCCCCCCCCCCTTATGCCACACACTCAACCTCTCATACCAAAAAAGTCGTGGTCAAATTAGCATTGGAAATTCCACACTCCTATGGCAAGGGGCGAGTTGATCCACACGACAAAGCCACTGTTGATCTTCCCTACTATGTGTACTTGCGAGCTGCTCAGCTCTATGGCGGAGCCACCCGGTCAGTTAGGCTCAGCTGCTCCCTAAACGAACATCAGCACTTCAGACAGCCACGCCCATTCGACCCGTCTGGACTGTGCCAGTCAAAGCAGAGCGGTTTGGTAGGCCCACAAAGATATGCAGCTATTTTTCAGAAGCGACCTGGCCACAAATGATAGCCCAACGAAGTGTCTTACCACGTGGACAATTAAATCAGGCAAACACTCTGAACGCATGTTTCTAAATGTGGAGGTGAAATACAAACCATGTAAAAATCCACGCGACCACCACGGGAGAGAACACACAAACTCCAAATACACAACAGGCGTCGTCTGGGTCGGGATCGAACCCACACGCTCCTTGTATACCAGACGAGGTAGTTAACATCTCAACTACCGTTTCACATCTATCCCTCGTCAATCCCACGTCGAACCTACTGCCCCCCGCGCATTAAAACAGGTCCCTGCAGGGTGGGCTGGTAGAAACATTGGAATTTTTTTTTACACCCAACAGCACGAGATTTTATTTCGTTAAAGTATTGAAAGGGGACGGACGGACGGACACATTAATCTATTGCACGCTGGTACACTCAGTTTACAACTACGTTCCTACCAGTACAAGGAACTGTCTTTCCCTGGCAGCTGGGCTCGTTCACCCTTACGGTGGGCTCGGATACCATGCGGCCCCCTATCACAGCGGTGGGTATGCTGCATGTGCATGAGCTTGCATGTGCCCGCCACCCCTACCTAAATGTTTGAATCAAATTATAAATCCCTGCTGTGTGTTGTTTGCAGCCCTCGGCGGACTCGGCTACCCCCTGGGCCTTGGCGCCGGTGTTGTGGCTCCCCACGTGGTGAAGGGCAAAATCGGTGAGGGTTCCTTTTGTCCCGACCGGCAAATTCCCGGTGCATTAATGTTCCCTCATTTACACGGCTACGGAGTGTGTGTGTGTTTAGTGCGTGTTTTGATAACTGTGGTGGCTGACTGTTGGTGCCGTCATTTCCTTGAAACAAAGTCCACCGTGTTCAGTATTATTCTGTAACAAGCACGTAAATATCCGTTAATCTTTGCTTGCGATGTGTGATGTGTATGCAGCTGCCCCGTTGGCGCCTTTTGTTGGTGCCATCTAGGTCATCACCGGTGAGTGAAGGTCGTAGAGACACCATAGGCTCACGCAGAGACCCATAACACTTATCGAGACCCATACACGTACCCAGACGTCCATACACTTAGAGAAACCCACAAACATCTGCGGAGGTTCCTAAGACTTGGCAAAATAACTGCCAATAGATCCCGAATAGAGTATAACCTTCTCAAGACTCTACCGATCCTGGGTGGATTGGTGGAGGTGCACATGTCTCGACACAGTGGAGTGACACACAGTGGATTAGAGAACACATGAAGGTTATTGTCTCCCCTCCCAACAACATCAACAACAACAGAGGGCCAACGCTCACAACAATGAGCAGAGCCATCGGATCGATAAAAAATGTGGCAAAGTTAACACAGTGATGAGCACACCTGCAAGTCATCTCAGTCAGCCGAGTGCATAGCAGCTCGGTTTGTGACCATGACCTGCCAGCAGCGAGTGCCTCCCACACATCACCTGACCCCGCCAACGTGCACGCAGCCTGGTAAAGGCCCCATTGTGACGTCACTATCACTTGAGTGGTGATTCGACAGGGGCTGTTGTTGTTGCTGGTGTTGTTGTTGTTGCTGTCTAAATGTGCCATGCGTGCGTGTTTGTCTGTCCGTGCACAGTGGCAGGAGAATTGCTAGGCGATCGTTGGCCTGCCGCACCCAGGTAACTATCCCGCCTCCTACCAGACAGTCTCGCCCCTTCACCTGATGAAGGCCGCTTGTGTTGTGGCCGAAACGTCGTGAGAATATTATTGTGTTATTTTATTTTATCAATTTATTATTTTATTCTCATTCTACGTAGTGACTTTACCGAAAGAACCAAAGAAGATGAATCATTGCAGTCACGAAAGCTTTAAATCGAAATTTAACCGCCTCTACGGGGTAGGGATTCCACACATCCTTAAGATCATTCAACAGACTTCGGGATAAGAAGGCTCAACTAATCGAGTCTCTCACCTTTCTGAAGAGATGCCGCGACTCTAAGCTTAAAGGCCGTGATCTGAACGTGGCTCTTTCACTCCAGCGCTGTCCTACCAGACAGTCTCGCCCCCTTCACCTGATGAAGGCCGCTTGTGTTGTGGCCGAAACGTCGTGAGAATATTATTGTGTTACTTTATTTTATCAATTTATTATTTTATTCTCATTCTACGTGGTGACTTTACCGAAAGAACCAAAGAAGATATCCTGCCTCATTGCGTTGATTTGTTCTATAGGCACGAGTTGGTCCGTGCTTGAGGCGTTAAATTCGTGCTGCCTTCCGCAAAACATCCGACGCGATGCTTTCATTTTCTTAAATCAACAGGGAGGTGCGTGGTTGACGCATTTCTCCTCTGATTGCGAAATTACTTTTTTGTTTTTCTCCCCCCCGGGGCCCCACCCCTCTGCAGGCCCCACCCCCTTTATCGTTAGGCCCCACCCATTCCACCAAACACAGGGGATGGACGTTTTTGTTTGTTTGTTTAAGAGAATGCCAATTTAGTGTTTTGCCGGCTGCAGGAATTAGCAAAAAACTCCGGGCTAAACCTGAGTCGATTTCAGTGAGACATTGTGAGAGGGGGTAGTGATCGGGGTTGCGGAATTGAGGGAAAGGGGATACGTACTATGTTTATGTTGAACTTTTTTGGAAACATACGGAAGTGCTGGGGAAGGTCAACCAACTGAACACAAAAGCTCTTCTAAAGAAATTAGTTGTCAATCTACATGATTTGAAAGTGTATAGCTCCAGTGGTAGAGGGTCCTAAAAGCGTTCTTAGAGGGACAGGTTTGGTCCGATCTTTTTTGTGGGGCTCAACTCACAAATGGATGATTGATAATGCTGGCCCAGAAAGGCTGACTGTGTTTTCTGAGTACAACTTAACGATCCGTGATGCTTGCTCATCCGTGCCCAGCCCTGCGTCCCCATCTGCAGTCACTTCAACCAGAAGTGGTGTCTGCGGAAGCGACCCAAGGCTCCGGTGAAGAAGTCACTTGACGAACGTTATGGACAACCGCCGCCAACCACCACCCACAAACAGGGGCATAGGTTCACCACCTACTCCCCTTCCCATACCTGCCCGTTCATGCCGACTGACCCACCCATCCTACCCAAGTCCTTGACTCTCACACAAATTCTTATCATCGGCGTGATGGTTTATTTTCGCCGTTCGTTAAGTTCCTGACTCCACCTAATCCTATGCCAACTTGGTGAAAATCAAGCCCTTGAGTGCGTGAGTGAGTATACGAGCGTGTGTCAGAGTGAGTGTGCGACGCTAATGAGTAGGCGGGTGTGCCGGCGTCTGTCCGTAACGTTTTTCTGATCTTCTCGGCATTAACACAAACGACGATGAATTAACACGACCTGGAAAAAACTAAATATACCACGAATAGCCAAAAATTTAATACATATTTTAAAACGAACCCTGGCATTAATCTTAAAAAAAAATAATCTAAATCTGGTGTTGAGGGGAGCACGCACACTGCCTCTGATTCTTCAATCAGGGGGAGTGAATCAACCGGGCGGCTGAAATTACACTTTGATAAAAGCTGTTAACGTTAACGAAAAGATACATATATCTGTAAAAAAAAATAATTATAATGGAACTTGTAATTAACCAACAAGAATTCAGCTGGATTGGAATGGTGGGTGCAATGCCGACGGGCGTTTGATTCACGGAAAAAAATGTTCATACACGAACAATATCTGGCATCATTTTACGGCAAGTCGATACCATCACGGTGGAAAAACCTTAGGCCTAATTCACGATGTTACCACCGTTTAACACGGGGTCACCTTAGCGCAGCAGTTACTCTCAGCTGTAAGCCCCGGCTTCCCAAATCCCCCGATCTCCATGTGTGCCCCCCTTCTCCCCGCACTGAGTGTATGCCTATCGTTATTTAGTTCTCGTCAGATCCAGAGTTTTCTTTTAATCGGGTCTAAAAGTGAGCACACGTTAAAGATTCTACCCCAAGAATTCGAGATTGTTGCGGGTCAAAGGTCCGGTCGACTTTGGCCACCAAAAACGTTTGATAGTGGTCTGGTTGAAATTTTGTGCGTCTGCTAACGCCAAGTGTTACTAACAGCTCCCGTTGTGAGTTCACTCACGCTTACAATTTCATTGGCCGGGGAACTCAATAACGGATGTTGTTATGTAACGAGTGGCTTCACGATTGAATTACTTGGCCGATGAGATAGGACAGGTGTATGTGTGATAGTTTGTGAAAGGTTGTTAAGTCCTGGATGGATCGGACGCGACTTGGGTGGATATATTCTGTGCAACGTCTTTTTTTCTGTGTTCCCGATTAAAATAAAAAAAATCTGTACTCGCCGCCCTTATGCATTCCATTGTGTCGTAAACAAACGACCCCGCGTGTGTGTGTGTACGTGCGAACGCGTGGGGAGCGATAGTGTAGCGGTTAGCGTGCTGCGCTATGAACCTGGCGACCCGGGTTCGATTCCCGCTCACGGCCAACACCAGTGACGATTATGTGAACCGGTCCCGGGCCTCCCCTAGGTCGACTCAGCCTCAAATGAGTACCTGGTGCGGTGTGTAAACATCGCCACTAGGGAGACAAAGGCGGTCGGGCGTGGTGCTGGCCACCCACCCCCTCGTGTACCGTTCTGGCCTTCATAGGTGCTCGCTAACAGCACTTGCCCCTACAGTCTGTTACAGGCTATATGGGGGATCTTTGTCTTTTTTTTTGTGCGAACGCGTGCATTGCTGTACATTGTCACACGTCCAACTGTCACGTGACCCAATAGTCAACCAAAGCGACCAAAGTACAGAAATCTTACACGGTCATCATTAGACCTCCTTTGCCAGCACCAAAATGTAATAATAATAGGGGTTTTCCCCTTTTTTTCTGGCAACAAAACTGAAGCCTTATAAGGATTCATGTCTGCATTAACCACAATACCTGCGGTCAAAATGCAAACAACAACAAAAACATGCTATGATAATATTTGATGCATTGTCCTTGAAACTGATTGGTCCACACCAAGGGACGGCTTTCTTTTTGAGCCTCGACCCAATTGGTGCTCGACCAGATGGCGCCAAAAGGCTCAAAAGAAAGCCGTCCCTTGGTGTGGACCAATCAGTTTCAAGGACAATGCATCAAATATTATCATAGTATGTTTTTTTGTTTGCATTTTGACCGCAGGTATTGTGGTTTATGCAGTTTTGTTGCCAGAATAAATGGGAAAAAAAACCCTATTCTTACACGGTCATGAAGCGTACATTTCTCACCAGTTTATCTTCCAGTTAATTCACGTATAATAGAGATTAACGTGCCAGCCTCATAGCCACCCAGACTCTTAAGTGCAGTTAAGTTGTCACGGCTTGCATTGCAGATACAGCCCGCACAGCTTCAGCATAAATGTCGATTTAAAGCTTTCGTGACTGCAGGGATTCATCTCCTCGGTTCTTTCGGTAAAGTCACGTAAAATGGAAATAATAAAATAATAAAAATAAAACATTATAAAATAAAAATAATATATAAAAATAAAAAAATAGATATTTTATTTTAATGATGTTTTATTTTTATTATTTTATTTCCATTTTACGTGACTTTACCGAAAGAACCAAGAAGAAGCTTCAGCATAGCCTCACAGCACCATTAGCTTCACAAACATTCTATAAAAATTAACTTTTCTTTTTTTACCAGGTGAGGCCCACTGAGTTATATAGCTCTTTTATTTTCAAAAATGCCAGGCCAAAAGTGATAGCTCAACGAAGTGGTTTTTCATCATGTGGGAATTTATAGTGGCAGCCAAATAATCTAAAACCATATTTCTAAATATGGAGGGGGGACAAAATACCAGAGGACCTGGAGAAAAAAATCCAGGCAACTCCAAATATACAGCCGTCAAAGTCGGGATCAAACCCAAGACTTCCTGTGTACCAGACGAGGTAGTTTACATCTCGGCAAGATGCTGGGAGACCAGCTCTGATGTTTCAGGCTGGCTGTCTGTAACTTGATGATCCGCCTCCACTGGACACCTGTGGATTCCTCCAGTCTAAATAAAGATTCCGATTCTGATATTGGCATTAAAAATGTATTGCTACGGTAGGATACCGCATCTAAACTGAACCCAAAGAGTGACCAACATATTAAAACAAAGGTTGAACATCGAAGACGACCTGATGATGCAGATAGCAATGAAAAGGAAACTGGCACTATTTCGACACTAAATGTAGGATGGACACACAGGAAAATAAAGACTGTGTTTGGAAAAATTTAAGCAACCAGAAAGAGAGGAATGCCTAAGAGGGAATGGCTTCACGATGACCTTAGAGATGTGTGCCACAGATAGACGTGCACGACTTGACCATATTGGCACAAGACATGTCGTCATTTGGAAACAAATGACGAAATGTTTGGAAACAAAATGACGAAATGTGCAGTTGATACCTACGATCTTCCCATGGATCGTGATTCTTTCATATGGCAAGGAGGTGGGGAGGGGGGGGAGAGCAACAGTTTGTATATATGATGTCATAGTTGAATGCTAAGGTCCTTCAACCACTCCAAGTCGGCAGGTAGCCACTGTAGAGATTTCGACGGTAATGCCAGGGTGTGTGTCGTGGATGCCGCAGACTCATCGGTGATCCGTTTGATGGTTTGGGGCTTCACTACGGTCGCAGTTTGGCGATTTTCTTCTACATATTCCACTCACGGAACGATGCACGTCTCACTTGCTTGCGTTTGAGTGCAGTTCTGCATGGGTCCACAGCCATCGTGAGAGAGAGAGGATCCTCGTTACTTCCATGTTCGAGTCCTCGATGATGATGATGATGTTTTTCTTTGCCACGTTCGCAGCAACCCACAATTCAGACCATTGTATTGTGATGATGATGAGGATGAGACACTGCTCATTGTATGTATGTTGAACTTCCTTCGCACAGTACCTTGAGCACCATGCTAATAGGAGGTGCGGGGGAAAGACAACTGTGTTCTCTGCTGCTGCCAAGACCCATCCTATCTATACCGCACAATGAAAACTTAACAAAGCTGGGGGATGATTTGTTTAAAAACCCCACTGTCATCTTCCACGTGAAAATGATCATTAATTCATTTTACATGTATTTAAATATATTTTCTTATCTTTACCAAATCAGTGCAGTATTCATCTTCTTTGGCTCTTTCGGTAAAGTCACCACGTGGAATGAGAATAAAATAATTAATTGATAAAATAAAATAACACGATAAAATTCTCACGACGTTTAGGCCACAACACACGCGGCCTTCATCAGGTGAAGGGACGAGACTGTCTGGTAGGACAGCGCTGGAGCGAACACAGCCAAGCTCAGACCGCTTGTGGTGTGGCCGAAACGTCGTGAGAATTTTATTGTGCTATTTTATTTTATCAATTTATTATTTTATGCTCATTCTACGTGACTTTACCGAAAGAACCAAAGAAGATGAATCCTTGCAGTCACGAAAGCTTTAAATCGAAATTCAGTGCAGTATTGTATTAGCAATGCTCGATTATTGCAAATTCACTACGCTACGGGACGTCTGGCAAAATAAACCATTCAGGTAGTAGGGTGTACAACATTCTTGAAATGAAATGTTTCGTTCTTTACGAATTCTCGAAAACAAAGTCGCTTGTTAAGCGAGAAATGACTGGACAGCGTCTCGATGAGAGAACATGAGTGGATCATGTGACAGCAACACTTTATTATCAAGTTCCCTTCTGGGTCGCTTTGCTATCTAAAACGATGATTTTTTATTTTTTTTATTTTCGCAGGTTAGGGCCCCTCTGAGCTATGTAGTTGTTTTTCAGAAGCGGTCTGGCCGTCACACGAAGTGGCTCATCACGTGTAAACTTATAGCAGCCAATCTTGATTTTAAGCTTTCGTGACTGCAGGAATCCATACGCTTTGGTTCTTTCGGTAAAGTCCCGTAGGTTATAGCAGCCAAATACACTAAACGCATGTTTCTAAAGACTCATGGAGAGAGGCACAGAGATCCGAAGAAGGGAAAAATCTGAGGGCCTGGAGAAAAATCCACGTGACCACGGGGAAAGAGAGAGAGACATGCAAATGCAAATTATAGGCTAATGAAGTGGTTTATCATCTGGAAATGTATAGCAGCAGGCAATAACTCTAAACGCGTGATGTTGAGTCTAAATGTGTTAAAAACCGGAGGTCTCAGAGGAAAATCCACACGAAAAACTCCAAATGTAAATGCATCAGGGTTGGGATCGAAGTCACGACCTCTTGTATACCAGGCGAGGTAGTTAACATCTCCTAGCCACCGTGGCGTCCTGCAACGGTGGCCAAAAGACACAAGCCCACACGTCACAAAACACTGCCACTGCGAAATTCCCCAGTCGCTCCCACTGATCTACCACTGAATACACATTCACAAAGGTATCTAAGACGTAGTTTTACCCTGGATTTACTTCTCAAAAAATCACTGTGACGGCAGCAAGATGCAGTGCAAGACAGCAACTACTGGGAATCGATGGACTGCAAAAAACCCCTGCCATGTTCGGTTCAACATTCAAGCTAAATAATAAAGTTAGTGTTGGTGGGGGGAGTGGGGGGGGTGTTAGATCGCGTAAATGTGTTGTTAACCCACCACCAAACGACAGAACCAATTAGTAAGGATTGTCACGTGAACAAAACGTGCAAATTTGTTACTACTTCACACACAAAGGCAATGATAACCCGTATAGCCTCGACAGACCGTTGGGGAAAGTGCTATTAGCGAGCAGCACCTATGAAGGCAAAGCACGCACGCACGCACACGTTTACACCCACATACAAAAAAAGATCCCCACCCCCCCTCTCTATACAGAGACGGAGCTAGGATTTTCAGGTAGGGGAGACAACCCCTCCAGCAATGAAAAATGATAGGATATGTTCGTAAGTAAGGACTTGTCCCTTGCTTTTTATTCGATGTGTGTGCGGCGATAGCGCATGGCCTGGTAGTATGACATGATTTGATCGTTCGTCACAGTCGCAGCAGTGTCCTTCTCGATATACAGCAGCGTGGCGTCATTGAGGCAGTCAGAGCCCATTGCGTTGTGCAAACGCGTCTTGATGATTCTCAGGACGCTGAAAACGCGCTCGGCCGTGGCTGTCGCCACCGACAACGTCGGTATCAGCCGCAGCAATCGGCACACAAGGTGGTAGCCGGCCGTGGCCCAGCCGGTCTTCGCCAGCATGACCGACAGTTCAGGGAGCGTGCCCAATAGCTTGTCCTTCTCTATCTCCCTGCCGAAGTGGACCAGCTGCTGATCGAGAAGCATTAGGTCGACGCCAGGAAAGTCGATCACGTAGAACTTGCGGGCCGGCATTGAACGAGGCGAGCTGCTTGCGCGG